CTTTACTGTCACATTTGACCAATTTAACGCATCCTTGCTAAAAAATATCTAACTGGCCCTGAACTTACGGTAGTTAATTCACCCTTTTACAACAAGCCATTTTGCATGTATTTGTTCATACTTGTTGGAGTATACTATGTTTATGTAAACCCAAATAAACTAGACAAAACAAAGACAGTACCATCATCTTTTGGCATCAGAATATTAAAGTACTGATATGAAAAAATCTGAAACTGTACACACAAAAGACCAAGCTATTTTTAAGCACAATAGCGTTTCAATCCCTCCATTTGATGAACAAAAACAGCATTCATAATTTGGGAACTGTGCATAGCATCATGCATTCACACATGCACAACACAGTTGCCATGGGAACCACACATGTACTATGGGGTGGTGCTCCAGATCCACTTAGAAGTACTCAGACTTGAGGCATTGAAACGCTCTGAATCAAACAGGACCATGTGTCTTCAGGCCTTATTCTCAGTACGATACACTCTGAACCCAACACGCCAATAATCGTTCCTTAGCCGGCAGCATTCCTGTGTTTTGTGATCATCACATCACTCAGTGCCAAAATTTACAAACATTTTCAGTCTGACTATTTATTGGAAAGACAAACATCAGATGAAACCACTTCATACAAGGAAGTTCCATTAAAAGAAATGCCAGGACGTTTTCAGAATTTCATGTAAATTTTCTTTTTTTTGGTTGCTAGAGGACAGATCTTATTTTATAAGTTGATTGTTTTGGCTCAGACATCATGTTATCCAGGAATGTTTGCTGCAGTAAGTACAAACAGAGGTCTCTCGTGATATGGCGAAGGGTCTATATCAGAGAAAGACAGAGGTTTCTAGATCTACAGGTTTTAGAGGAAATTGAGTATCTCTTTTATTAGGGTGCTGCTAAGCATGAGCATATGTGGACCAGATGTCTCTGCTTCTGTCTGGAAAATGCTGAATGCATGCTGCAAAAGGAGGAGGGATCCAACCACAAATACATTACACTCTGGAGACAAAAGTGGTTCCCTTGCTAGTACACATTCTTTCCTTCTCATTCCTCCGATGCCTCTTATTCTTTCCATTTCCTTCCAAAGCTGTTAACCTTTGACTTAATGTATACACTTTCTGTTATCATTTGCAGAAACAACTGCAGCGGATATACCGGTAGTCTGTGGGTAGGTAATACATTTTTTTTTTTAAATAAAATTACATTAGGTTACAAAGGAATTATATCAAATCAAACCAGAGTGTTGGGGAAAGTTACTTTTAAAAGAAATGATTTAAAATATCCCATTACTCCCTAAAAAGTAACTATTTGTGTTACTTAGTTACTTTTTAAAGAAAGTAATGCATTATGTTACTTTTTCTCTCCTGGGCTGGACTTGGTTGTTTGTTTTTAAATAACAACAAAAAGCTCTTTCAAACCAAAAGTGAAATGTTGCAGGAGAAGAAAATTTAACGCTCTTTTTCAGCAATAAAAAAAGATAAATGTGATGTTTAAAGGGGTACCATTTCTATTATGCCCTTTTACGAAGTCTTGATTTTGTTTTTGGGGTGTTCTACAATATGCTTTCATGATTGTTTAAAAAAAAACACTTTTACAGCAGTTTTAAAGATTATTAAGCCAAGTTCACACTAAAGGATTTTAAGCCTGATTTATGCCCGATTTACAAATCGTTGAGCTCGCCGACAGGTTAGGGTGTTATCGCGTGCAATTGCGGGGGATTAGCGGACGATCAACGCTTGCCAATCTGTTAGTATGAAAGAGCCAACAACGCAGCGAAGATACTCGCAGACGCATCGCCGAGCCCAGAAAAATATCTAGCATACTAGATATCCAGAGCTGTCGCGCGACTCAACCTCAGTGATGTCATGAGCTACAGCCAATCAGAGCAAGGCATGGGTTGAGGTCACCGGTAAATCTTAAGTTTTTCTTTTTTTGCCTTTTTTCTCAGAGCAAATCATCGCGCAAACACTAGTGTGCAGCACTAGTTTCTGTCTGACGTCCACATTGGCGTGTTGTGTTCTTCTCTTCTTTGCTGGGTTTTGGCGCATATGCTGTTTCGCGTCATTTCTGGTTAGTTTTATAGGTTATTAGCTGCTAAAAAATAAAAATAAACAGAAACTTTAGCATACTTAACCAAACCGAGTAGTTGGTTGAGCAAAACTATGCAGTTTCATTTAAACTTGTTTTCAATGTACAAAAACCAATGCAGTTGTAATGTCAGGAATGTGGAGGCCTTTTTTTTTTACTACAGATGAGTTGTTTACCACTCATGCAAACTCACACAGCTTTATCCAGAGTCAGCTTGAATCAGTCAGGGAAAGCTGCAGGTTTAACACAGCAGAGCTGGATTATCAGGCAGTTACTACAGAAAATGCAGGGGGCTGTAGTAGAGGTTCCTGGCATGGCACCACTCGACTGCATCACATTAGCTATTGAGTAAAATCTGTCATTGAGCAAATACAATCACCTCAGGCTTCTGTGTTTTGGTGAACTAACAATCACCCTTGACTCTGCCAAACCATCGCACTCTCTCCGCTGTGTTTTGTATTTTTCCACCGATTCTAGTAATGAATGAGCACTAATACAATTACAAACTGATCATCTGAGCCTCCTCTGAGGCCTGCAGGCTTTAATTAGCAAACTCAGTTGTGCTAAATGAATGTGGGATGAGACACATTTGCTCAACAAAGCCCCATTTCTGAGAAACTGATTTAAAGGAGGTTTGTGGTGATCCAAATGCCAAAAATGTTATTGGGTTAGCGTGATGTATTTCACAGAACCACCTCTGGAAGCTTGAGTATTTGCAAAAGTGACAGCCAAGCAGTAATACCCACAAACCAACAAAACCATTTTTAAATTTCACAAACCAAGCAAACCATTTTTAATTTAAGTAACAGTTCTCTTTTTCCGTTTACTATACTGGCATCCGACAACACTACTTTGGTAGATAGTGGGCCTCACTAACCGTGTTTGTCCAATGCAAATTTATGTCTCCTCAAGCAATCAGTATTTCCACGTCTTCACCTCATATCAGGCTCGTTCTTATGTACACGTTACCATTTAAGTTTTGAATAGGCAATTTTCTTTAAAAGAAATTAATATGTTTATTAAAGTTCATTCCATTCAAACCAGACACGTCTAAAACAAAGCTTCTCTTATTATTACAATTTGGCTCATGATGGAAACAGTAGGAAATAACAGGATGGGGTGGAGATGAGAGGGTCTGACAGTTTCTCACACTGCCATTAGGAATCTAGCTAAGCAGCATGTTCCCTCCAGGCACTTCACTGAATGAAATCCCAAGAAAAGAGGGAACAACAACAACAACTTGGCTACTTTACCAAATGTTGACGCCATAGAACACCAAACAAACCAAAGCTCAGAAAACCCACTTGGACAGTCTCCTTCCTCTGCCCATAGCAACAGAGCAGGTTATACTGGCTGTGATAATCTGTATATGTACTGAGCTAATGCAACCGATTTGTTCAAACGGCCTCTCTATTGATTTCTTTATTGTACATATCTTAGCTATTTCAGCAGTTTACCCTCGGTTACCTCTGCTGACCTTCTCACCTCAAGTATGTCTAAACACACACAAAGACACAAAGCAAAAAAAGGTGGTCAGACAGGTTGCACTACTTTGTGAATACACTGAAATCAGGTGTGTGTAGCTTTAATTAGATTAGTGAGTAATACCAAAACTGCTTTTGGAATGACGTTATGGTTTACCACCAAAATCTCCTTCACACCAAGTCAGTGGCTTTCTTTAATTCTCATTCATTTTTTTCTATTATTTTATTTAAAATGAAGCACAATTACCATCCAAATTTTCATTTCTGTAATTAAAAAGTAATGACATTTTATTTAAATTATTATGTACTAAGAAATTAAGATGGTACTTGTTGGCCTTTAATTTAATTTAAAAAAATCTGCATCAATTTATTAAAATAATCAGAATGTAATGAGACAAGAAATGTCTGGAAGCGTTACAAATGACAACTTGGAGAAAATCTGAGAAATCTTAAAGGGATAGTTCACTTTGAAATTAATTTTTGGTATGTTTTTGTTTACCTCAAGGGCATCCAAGATATTGGCGTCTTTGTTTCCGCATTAGTTTCAATTTTGATATTTTTAGGTTAAACTGTTCTTGTCTGTCAGTCATATAATGCAGGTCTATGGTCACCATCTCAAAGACCATGCACAGAGGAGTCCAAATTGAACACGATTCAATGACTCGTAAATGTAAGTAAATTGATGGTCTAAGACACGAAACGAGCGGTTTGTGTGAGAAAACAAACAGTATTTATATCGTTTTACCTTCTGTAACCACAGCTACATCCAAGTGATCTGAAGGCGTGGGCGATTTGGTCTGAGCAAGCGCCGGAAGTGATCTCCCGTGCGGTTGCGAAACACAAACAACGTTGTCTGTTGATATATCGAAATCGTCTTCTATTGTGATTTTCTGTATATCTAAATATGTTTAGATCTTCAGTGAAAGGTGTGACGTACACGCGTGAGAGATCACTTCCGGCACTTTCCAGCACTTGCGCAGACCGAAGTGCCCTCACCCTCAGATCACTTGGACGTGGCTGTGGTTACAAGAGGTTAAAAACTATATAAATACTGTTCTTTCTTTTTTTCACAAAAACCGCTCGTTTCGTGTCTAAGGCCATTAATGTGTACTTACATTTACATTGTTTGATTTGGACTTCTCTGTGCATGCTCTGAGGTGGTGACCATAGACCTGCATTATATGACTGATAGACAACAACGGTTTGACCTAAAAATATCCAAATTAAAACTACTGTGGAAACAAAGACAGCTACATCTTGGATGCCCTTGAGGTAAGCTAAAACATATCAAAAATTAATTTCAAAGTGAACTATCCCTTTAATGGTCTTAAACAAATGTTTTACCCATTTAGCAGTTAAGTAATTGGGATTCTCCAAATAATTCATAATTTCTTTTTACCATATTTTATGTCTACTCACCACTACATGGTGGAAAAGTAGCTCCCATGAATGGCTGATCTTCTGATTAATAACCATATCAAAGAAGTCATATATGAAGTACCCTGAAACACATAAATGCATATTAACACTGTATTTCTCAAACAGTGCAAAGATCATTCCAACAGGTTTTTCAACCAACAGATCCCATGACAACAATTGTGTTGGTTACCAAGATGTCATTTCTAGAGAGCTATTTATATCCATCCATTTCCCAATAAGAGGGTCTCCACAGAGAGACTGAATTTTAGAGCATATCAACAACAAATGAAGCCAAATATGAGACTTCATTAATATAAATGTACTGATAAGCATTTTCAAAGAACATGCCTGTTTTGGTTCATATTACACTAGTTAATTTTCTGAAACAAGCCTTACCATCTCAGGTGAAAGGATAAATAGATATTGTCTATATGTCTATAATGAAGCATTTTAGAAAAATGCGTTCCTCAGACTTTTGAGCAAGACCATGAAAAGCCACAATTAGGTTTTTATGGGTATATACATGCATAGATAACAGGATTGGGATACATGTTCTGTATTATTTTTATTATTGAGAGAAGATTATAAACTTAAATGCAAAGGCCCATTCATAAACAGCCATGTGACCTATGGGGGTAGCACTGGTGCCTTGCTGGGATGGATCATAAAGGCAGCCATTGATTCAATAGCTAAAGCTAACATCTCTGCCAACTGTATGTGGGATTCCTCACAGTATTCAGAATATTTCTGGTATTTGGAATTTTAAATGGGAGTCATCTACTTATTGGTTGAAATAAACATTCCAGTCAACTGTGCTACATTCAAGCAGTGCAAAACAGCACACTACACAAATTATAGCTAATAATCAAAAGGGAACAAAAAAATTACATTGGATGTTTTTGTTTTCTAAAAAGTTTCATGTCAGATAAATATCATTTTTGCAATGCAAAAATGCAGCCTTCACTGCAATGCAAATACATTATATATGATTTAAATAATAAAGTATTTATGAATCATGTTACTATTTGTTGTACCTTTAATTTATGCAAATAAAAATATTTCATAAGTAAAGAAAAACATGGATTAATCAGGAGCAATCAGATTTTGAGGAGATATGCTTAATTGTGTCAAAAAAAAATAAAAACAAAAAAGTCCAGTAAGGTCACCTGTGAAGTCTGACCCAGTTTCCTTCAATTACACTGGACATGACAGAAGAGAGTGTTTGTAAAACATGGGCATAATGCTGCCTTCACGTGCTATCGGAAATGTCCTACTTCCTACTGTTGAAGTCGTGATTACGAGCTCATCACATTAACATTTTGACGTGAGGGCGTTTATGTTCAATTTTTTAAATAGGAAAACAAAATTCTTTATACTTACCGATTGACACAGACACTAGGGCGTGAGAGAAAACGGAGTGCGTTGCTATTAAATCCTCAGCCATCTGGGGGTGCATGCAAAAACTACAAATACAGACGAATTATGATTAGGGCATGGCGTTTAAATAAAAGTGCATCACATTTGTAAAATATGTAGTAATGAACAACGCTCATATATCAAGTGATATAAACCACATGTGTCGTCAATGTGCAGCCTATCAAATGGCCAGTGTCTGTTTGTGGGTGGCAGGCGAAAAGATGGTACTCTTGGATAAAATTCTGAAACATCTGATAAAGGCATCAAACAGACGGTTCATATGGGAGTATATGGGTGTATTCCTCATGCACATGTGGGGGAATTCTGGCACTCACCATAGCACGGACCACACTCCAGTTATGACGCTGTGCACGAAAGATGTGGAGATGTTTTTCCATTTCCAAGCGTTCCTCTGAGCTGTCTCGGGAATGGGAAGTTTGCCGATTCCATAGTTTACCAATTTGAAAAAGCCCACCGAGGATCCAGCGGTCAAAATCACAGAATTCAACTCCATATTTTAAGCGCGCGCTTCTGTTTACTTGTTACAACCCGAGATACTCGCGCGCGTCTGGACTTTTCGTTGATAACCCCGCTTTTTGCGTTATTTCGTCAAATATACATCCCGAATTGTTTGTTTCTATTTTATTTTCACCTTCAGTAGTCCAAACAAAAGCGACTATGTCGTCTCTGTAGGCAGAGCCCTTGTGTGAATCAAATGTATCGATACTATCTTTGTTAATAAAAAAAAAAGGCTTTTTGTTTCAGTGCTCAGATTGTTCGGTCCGATACAACGTTGAAGATAAGACACTGACTGGTCAATTACGACTGGCAACAATGAAATAGTATCTAATACATATGTTACAAAAGCCTGACGCTGAACGCTTGTGTAACTTTTTCGTTTTTACAAAAACCAAACAAGAGAATCCCCGCCCATTCATCGTAAGGCGTGTTTGAGCAAATGAGCGTCTCGGGCGTGTGATTTCTTTACGTCTAGTCCCGCCCCTTCGTGTCAGAGTGGAATTGTGGGAGATGTAGTAGGCTTATATGTGCGGGGATTTCGTAATTTGCGAAAGTAGAAAAGAAAGTTGCCGACGTTTTTCGCTCAGATTGTATCTTTGATGCGCTAGAGCTTCTCCAGCCTCTTCATTATCCTTTATAGCCTAGTTCTTCATATAATCAATCCTTCTGAAGGCAAAGTCGGTCATTATAAATGTTCAAAATGGACTTTCCACCAGAATGTGCTTTGAGATATGTAGTGTGCATGGAGTTTTATAATTTCACTGTTGGACACACTAAACAACTGAAAGAAAATAGCATACTGTTGAGTCTGAAAAGCGTGCTTTATTGGAGTTTAATTTCCGAAAGTCCACATGGCTAGAAGAGCAGCAGGTGTTTGTTGTTTAAATTGATGGTGTGTCGGGCGACATCTTGTGGTTCTTTTTTAATGTAAGATATGTTGTAGCTTCAATAACAGACTATTACTACATGTCGCTGCTGAAAACATTAACAATTTAGATACAGTCAAAGTGTTAAAATGATAGCTTATAAATACGTATGAAGAAGACTTATTATCTGATTTATATAACTGCGAATCTATAATGTAGGTCTGCTGTAGCTCCTTTTTATTTGAGCCAAGGAATGTCAATTAGGCTATAAGTTGTCTCAGTACGATGTTTTATGCTCTTACAGAAGCAACATGACGGAGTAGGCTATGTTGTGAACGAACGTCTATGCTTGGCATACTGTATTCACAAACCATTCTACTATTCCTCCTTAAATATTATGGAAGTTGAATTTGCTTTTTTATAACAACACATAATAATGTCAAAATGTGATGTCCATCACACCTGAAAACAGAAATCAGAAGCTAGTCAGAGTTTGCTCGTTAGTTTCGCACGCTCAGTTTGATGTTTCAGTCACGTGCGCTGATTGGCCGAGGCTGAGCTCGAGCCTGTCTGTCGCTGTCTGAGATGCTGCGTCATGATGAGGTGTCAACGATTTAACTACTTTATTCTGAATGGACTGCTAACCATTTGACTTGACTACCGGAGAATTTCGTCCAGACAGGTAAGATATTAGAAAAATGGTAGGCTAAAGTAGCTTATACGCAAGGACGACAGATATACTAGCAACATTTGTAATACAGACGTATCGTGTTGTCCTCCTCCTGCGTTACAAGACATTTCATCTCAGCCCAGGGTGTTCAGTATTACGCGAAACCAGTGAGTGACAGCTGGTAACGTGCATTCGTTAAATAAATAATTAATAACTTTATTGCTTCTGCTCTAGCTCTTGTATAATCTAGTTACCATCACTACGTATCCCTATGGTGTATCTGGTGTTACAGATAAGTGCACTTCTGAAGTTCAAGTCTCTTCCTCTCCCAGCTTTAAGGTAAACAGCGTGGAAGCTGAGGAAGACCAGGCGAGCGTTGCTGTATAAAGGTAGTAGTATAGGCTGCACAGGTTGGAAACGGAGAGTGGCAAGTTTAGTTACATTACTGATTAGTTTTTATTTCTTCAGCTGACAAACTAACAATGGAGACAAAACAGTGTGAAGAGATCACGGAGATGGTGTGTTTAGAGTCAGATCTGCTGGATGGACAGTAAGCGATGTGATCCAAACATGTTACAGCAGCATATCATTTGTAGTAAATAAATAGGCTTAATTGAGTTATTTCCTACTTTATAGTATTACTATAATGATTATTTGAAATTCAAGAAATAATTACGATTTAAGTTTTGTTGTTGAAAGAAGTCTTTTATGCTCACCAAGCATTTATTTTATGGAAAATACAGTCAATCAGTAAAATTATGAAATATTATAACAATTTAAAATGACTGTTTTCTATTTTCAATATGCTGATTTTCTGCTCAAGAAAATTTCTTATCAGTATAGATATTAAAAGAAGTTGTGAATGTAAGATATAAATTAATACTTTTATTTAACATGCATTACATTAATGGTAAAGGTATTTATAATGTTACAAAATGTTTCCAAAACGTGTTTTTCAACACAAAAGATAACCTTTATAATATATCATAATAATAATAATATATATAATATAATAATAATATATAAGAATATATCCTGCTCTAAATTAGCATATTGCAATGAAGACACTGAAGACTGGAGTAATGGCTGCTGAAAATTCAACTTTGCCATCGCAGGAATTAATTAAAATAGATTAAAATAGAAAACAGTTATTATATTAGTTAATAATATTTTTATTTCGTAATAAAAAAAATGAAAATTTTCATTCCAATTTTTCAATAATGAAAAATGATTATTATTATTCCAAACTTTTGACTGCCAGTGTAAATAATTGTATTTATTTATTCATTCTGACACCATGTTACCCATGTTCGTCCTACAGAATGAAGGAGGTTGAGGTGGACCAGCAAAAAATCCTGTTGGTACGCAATAAGGGAGAATTTTCTGCTGTGGGTGGTCTGTGCACTCATTATGGCGCTCCACTTATCAAAGGTAGGGTATGGTCTCTGTTAATCACTAGACTAGGCTGACACAAACTGAGCGATAAATAACCTTGTCTTGTGTTTACTTAGAACTGTAAGTAAAATGAAAACAGGTTTTTTTTTCATTCATCATCTCGTGCCCTTTACTTGTCATTCTTATTCTGAGCTGTATCCAGTTACATTGCCTTTATTTTTTTCAAGTCTACCGTGACATTGTGTTTCCAACACATCATAAAAGTGGCTTTATGCTTGTAGGTGCATTGCTTGGAGATCGAGTTCGGTGCCCATTTCATGGGGCATGTTTCAATACTAAAACTGGAGATATTGAAGAATTTCCTGGACTGGACTCTCTGCCTACATACAAAGTATGAATATACACTGTATTTTTGTTGTGTCATGTGCCTGTTACAAATTCATATTTTATGTCGCATGCAATTTCCCATACAGTTTTATGAATTAATCCATTACTTATTTTTGTATGTCTCCTGTCCTGTTAAGGTCAAGGTAGAGGGTGGTAAAGTTTATGTAACTGCTGATGAAAAGGTTAGCACCCGTGCGATTTTAGGTCTTTTTGCTTTTGAGGAGCATTTCATGAAATGTTCTGTATTTTGTAATTCTTAGAAACTGAAGAAGCGAGTTAAGAAAATGTCCAGTAGAGTGCCTGGAGTCAGCCACACGGTTGTTCTGATTGGAGGAGGTGAGTAATAGATACTTAATCTAGACCAGGGGTCAGCCAAATAATGAACATATGTCTAAAAATGAAGAGTTCAGATGCAAAAGCCTCTAAATGCCATTTGAAATTTTCTTCTTTAATGATGATTTTTATCAAACTTGCATATTTAAGTTCAGTAATTTCACTTAAATAAAAATTAATAGGTAATTATCATTGCCATTTAAGTGAAATCACTGAACTTAAATATACAAGCTTGATAAAAATGATCATTTTAGAAGAAAATTTGAAATAGCACTTAGAGGCTTTTGCATCTGAACTCTTCAAATATACATCAGTAAATAAATAAATAAATAAAATTAAAGGCAATCCTCCATGGCCTGGAAAAGTTTGTATGCCTCTTCTCCAGTCTGTCATTTTGGGAAATGCTACATTTCTATGTGTTTGTGTTTCCACAGGCCCAGCTTCATTGCAATGTGCGGAAACCCTTCGTCAGAATGATTATGAAGGGAGAATTATAATGGTTACTAAAGATGAGCAGCTGCCTCTGGATAAGACCAAGCTTAGCAAGGTTGAAATCCATGGATCATATCGTGCGTTCATGTGCTATGGTAATTATGGTAAATGCTGTAATGTGGAAATTGCACATTAACACCCCCTCATGCGGTATTTTCCACTGGGCAGCTCGTTGAATATTTTGATGCACGAGTTGGTGACATGAGATAACCTTTGACCTTTTCAAAATGGCGGAGAGCAACGCGAGAGAGTCGTGAATGGTGAAAATATGTACTATTCATGATCTAGAAAATAAATCGATAAATTGATAAATCATTTTCTTGCTTTAGCAAATGACTTAAACAAACTAAAACAGTATTAGCTAAATAACCGGTCCGGCATCAAAAGCACTTGAACGCAACACACTGATAAATACCAGTTCACAGGTGGAAAATATGATGTTTACAATAGCACGTGAACGCACCAATAGATTAAACAAAACCAGATTGTTTGATTGGCTCTCCATTGCCTTATTGAATTCATTAACCTGTGTAGTTCCTTGTTTATGAAGGAAGGTTTTGTGTGTTCATGGACTCTTGTAGGCAATGAATATTGAAATTGAAAAGGTGTTGCTACGGCAGAGTGATTTCCTTCAACACCATGGGATTGAAGTGTGGACTAAAAAAGAGGTGGGTTTCTTTTAGTTTCTTTTCATCTTCCGTTCATTATCCTGGAATCACATGCATTGTATTTATTTGTGGATATTAACAAGAATTGTCCCTCAAAAGGTAAAGTCTGTTGACACAGAGGCTAAAACATTGACTTTCAAGGATGGCACTGTCCAACACTACGACCAGCTCTTGATTTCTACAGGGGGGAGGTCAGATCATAACTTTAGATCATAACTTTTTAGATCATCCTTTTAAAAGTGCTTAAGATTAGATAAATCTCATTTGGACCTTTTATCTAAATGCAATGTATAATGGTGAATTATGTACTTTTGTTTTAGAGCCAAACCTCTGCAGTGTCCTGGTGCTGAACTAAAAAACGTGAAATTGCTGCAGAGTTTTAAGGATGCCACGGAAATCCATCACATGAGTGCAGGCAACAAGGCCGTCATCGTTGGAACTTCATTCATAGGTATACAGAAATCAATTTAAAAGTATTCTTTCACAAACACTAGGGCTGTACCCAAAAGCTTAGTCAGTTGATTTGTTGCCTCATTGCCCTGTCAGGCAATGACAGCGTTTGTGGACTACCTCACGAAACTGATTGCAGACAAAACAGTTTAATGATAGCAACAAAAGAACAAATTGAATATTTAATTAGAACAATACTAATTTCCCACTAGAAATGAAATCAAAAGTGGAAAACGTTGGTCAAAAATGTACATTTACAAACTGACCACCAACCACATATTTCAGATGCCATTTTTATATTTTGGCTCAACTGTCACAAAATGAACACACAGGATGTTGCGATATTTAAGGCAGTGAAGGATACATCTATCCTGCCCTCAAAAATCAGGCATAGGTAGGTGTCTTACTAGACAGGATGTAACACAATCATTGGATTCAACGTGTCTTGTTGCTCTCCTGTCTCCGAATGCTGCCTGCAGAGGCAGCGTTTTTTTTATCTTTCGGACGCAGCCTAAGTTAATGGCAATATTGCATTATGACTTTCAATTATCAATCAGGAATGGAGGTAGCAGCTTATCTGTCTGACAAGGCAGCCAGCGTCACTGTTATTGGGAGCAGTAAGTTTCCTTTCCAGTCTTCACTGGGTCCAGATATCGGGAAAATGACAATGCAGGTCAGAGAATATTGTGATATTTTTCTTTCATTTTTGGCTTACTGCTTTTGGCTATCTATCGCAAGTGATACATAATCTGTTAAAGATGCTGGAAGAGAAAAACGTGAAGTTCTGCACAAGTAATGGTGTGGCTGAAATTCGGGGTGAAAATGGAAAGGTACTGTAAGCACAATACTAAACAATCGTAGAACTGATGTCAGTGCATTGTAAAAAAAACAACTTATTTGTTTAGGTCAGGGAAGTTGTTCTGAAAAATGGCGAAGTCCTTCCAGCGGATATTGTAATTGTGGGCATTGGTATGTACCAAAACAATTTTGTCATAGCAGTTTTGTTGTTGTCACTGAAAAGCTGTTTATTGCTAACATTTACATTCATATCCTTTCAAAGGTGTCATTCCCAACTCTGATTTCCTAAAGAGAACATCAGTGGAAATTGATTCACGCAATGCTGTTGTTGTTGACAAGGTAACTGTCTTCATATCACATTGAACAAACATTTTACTTAACAAATAGAGTAGTTTTTATGACATCTGTGTTTTTCAGTTCATGAAAACCAACATTCCTGATGTCTTTGCTGCTGGAGATGTGGTGTCTTTTCCACTTCCTTTGGTCGGACATAAGAGAGTCAATATTGGACATTGGCAATTGGCGCAAGCTCACGGTACCAGCTGATATAATAATACGATTTTGAATATTCAAAAATAGACTACCATTCAAAAGTCTGGTGTCAGTAAATTTTTTTTATTTTTTTTTAAAGAAATAATACAGCAAGGACACATTTCTTTTAGCAAGGCACATACAAAAATATTGTTCCCAGCAAACGTTCTTTTTTGGTTCCCAAAAAAATAACCTCATGGGACCATTCGGGAACGTTAGGGGAACGTTCTGTGTTTGCTGGGTTACCAAACATTTCTATTTAAAATAAATGCTATTTTTTTTTAACTTTCTCAAATCAAAAAATCAAAGAATCAAAGAATACTGAAACCATTATCATGGTTTCAAGAATAAAATATTAAGCAGCACAACTGTTTACAACATCAATAATAAGAAGAGATTTTCTTGAGCAGCAAATGAGCATATTAGAATGATTTCTGAAGGATCATGTGACACTGAAGACTGGAGTAATGACGCTGAAAATTCAGCTTTACTTTCACAGGAAATAATTACATGTTAAAATATATTAAAATAGAAGCAGCTATTGGAAATCATAATAATATTTCACAACAATGCTATTTTTTACTGTATTTTTGCAACTTTGGTGAGAAACAAAAAATTGAAGGCTCGTATTTGTGGTAATGTGTAAAATATGTGGCCGTGGTCTTCTACAGGAAGAATAGCTGGTTTAAGCATGCTGAATCAACAGGTTGCGATTAATACTGTGCCATATTTCTGGACCATGCTGTTAGGCAAAAGCATCCGATATACAGGTGACCATTCCAAGATAAATCTCCCTTCTCTAAGGAAATATGATATTTCAACACATGAATAAATAAATTTGAACTTAATCTATTTTTATTCCACCAGGCTATGGAGAAGGATACACTGACATTGTTTTTAAAGGAAGTACTAAGGAAAGAAAATTCTTGGCATTTTATATCAAGTAAGCTGATGATAGCAAATGAAGAAACCTTAAAAGTTCTTCAAATCTTTATGCCTTGAAATTAGGATTTCTCTCCGTTCATTGCTGTTTATTTCATAATCCAGAGATGAAGAAGTTGTTGCAGCTGCCAGCTTGAACTATGACCCTGCGGTCGCGAGGTTGGCGGAAATGTTATTGATGGGGAAGAGGATCACTAAGACTCAGGCACAGTAAGTAACCCTCAATTAATTGCATCCATGTGCCAGAGCTATGAATTAAAGCGGTTATTGAATGTTTTTGCATGCATACAAGTGAAACCTGTTTAGGGGATATACATAAGACAGGATTTTCTCTGCTTTCACAGATCTGATGACCTCAGCTGGTTGCAGCTCCCATGAAAGCGCTTTGGCAACACTTTCCTCCATGACTATATTGATTAAAGTTTGTCCGTCTATCATTTTATTTGATTTTCTTACCTATAGCTAATCTTCAGTAACAAAGACTGTACTTTTTGTCTTCCCCTTGGAAGGAATAAAACATTTTTGGTACAGTTATTCTTAGAATCATTTTTTACATTGTAGGTAATTTTGGATCCCCTGGGGAAAACATACGTATAAATCATACTAAATAATGTTTTGTTTTTGTTTAGGGGTTGGGTTAAGGTTTTGGGATAGAATATACAGTTTGTACATTATTAAAAATCAGTGTCTATGGAAAGTCCCCTTAAACGTAAAATTTAAAACCAGTGTATGTGTGTGTGTGTGATGCACATTAAACAAATTTTCAAAGCAGATCATTTGTTGTTAAGTTTCAAAGAATGGTGATACATTGCAACATCAGAAAAGGACAGATAATGGATATTGTGTGTCCACAGCTGTGGCTGTGGTCCATGGCTGTGTCCACACTAAAGATTTAGCCTACATCTAATGAAGTGTCACAAATTATGTTTCTATTTGGTTTTAATACACTTGAGTACTAATATTGCTAGGGAAGTAAGGTAAAAATTTTAATTCATCATACTGCATTATTGTATCACTCTTAATACTCATTTTAAACGTAAATATTTAGATTTCTTATTAATTAGTATGCTACACGTTCAATTATAGCAGACTTTTTAATACAATGAAAAGTTAAAGAACATAAATACAAATGTTCGACTGAAATGTTTAATGTGGCATGATGATAACACTGTGGCTGTGACATGCTGGGGCCAGCGGTGGTCAGTTCCCCGGATGAAGGTTCGGCGTGAATATGGCGCAGAGAGCACGAGCAGCGCGCTCGTGAGGGCTTCAGTGAGACTGATACGCGCACTTAGCCCGCTGAAGCTAACTTTACTCTCAAGAAACTTACCCGACCATATGAAGTTTATTTTTCAGCGAACACTGTTCTCACCACAGGTAGGACTTTTAAAACACGATTTGTATTACAAACGAGAGTCGTTTGTTTGCCATCGCAGTTTGTTTTGTTTGTCAGCCTGTAGTTTCGGTGAGTTTGTTCGTTGTGCTAATTTAGCTAATTCCTCACAGCTAGCTAAGTAGCTTGGTCTATCAAAACATTACTTAAAGTGATAAAAGATACTAACTAGAAATGTATCCCCGTTTCTAATACCACTGAAGTTTGTATCTATGTTGTCAGTTATAGATTGGGAATGAGTTACAATAGTCTGTAAATAAAGCCATCATTTCAGACCTACTTTTCACTCAAGGTTCGGATCAAGAGATAGATTTGTGAGCTTCTCCTGAATTGCTATCTGGATACGAATAAATGGGTCGTTATATTACTGTCAGAAGGACTTGTAAACTACTTGTAAGTTTGACTAAAGTCAAAAGTGTTTTCTCGTTGCTGGTTGTCCAGCTAGTGACATACAGTAAATAACACAAATGAATTTGACTCGTTGTTCTGTTAGAGCTTCTTAATCCCTATAATGTGGGAGCGATGCCTTACGTATGATGCTGACACGATCCATACAGTAACTAAGCTAACAAAGTTCACACTACTAACGATTCTTCCGAATGTAAATTATAGCAATTTGTACAATTTTAGTAGTGCAATGTTTGGTATCGATGGTTTTGAGTGGGCAGTGTATGGTTTCAGCTGTAGTATCGATTCTAGTCTGTATTTCTCAAAAGCATCGTAGCTAAGTTGATACTAGAGACTAATGGTGACTGGTTGATTTAGTGTATGAATCGCATCATGAGTCATTGTTTACGTAATTTAAAAGAGAAATTCCTCTTCTTTTAAAATCGGATGTAAAGCAATTTTTAATCAATCAACATATTCAGTATGCCCAACTTGTTTGACCTTTTTTTAATTGAACAGTTTATTTAAACTTTAAGACAAAATAAAACATGCATGTGTGTTGATTTGTATCATACCAGGCTTTAATGTCCATTAAAGACAAAATATGATATACCCTAGTGATAATATTGAGCTCTCATCTTCAGAAGACCTGTTTTATTCAGAGGCCCAAACTGAGAGGAAATTCTGATGGCTCACAAGTCATTTAAATCTTAAATAGTACAGCAGACTACTTGCATTAAATTAATGTCACTAACAGTTATTATCAGTCACTTGATATCTCCCAATAATAATGAGATTAAAGACTAATGATATTTGAAAAGCTTGCTTAGTTTTATTCTCATGATGTAAAGTATTTCTCTCTTGACCTATAGCTAACAATATTTTTTGTTTAATTAAAAAAAAAAATCACTAAAGATTGCACAATAAAAAGACACGTGTACCATAAACTGAAGGTAAACACATTTCCATTATACTAAAAGGACTTCACTTTAACTAAAAAATATTTACCACAATCACAGGGAAGTGTAAAAAAGTGACTGTTTTTTCTGCAAAGTTTTGATCATGTTTATGGGCCTTAGAAATTGATATTTTTAGTCTATCTGTGCTTTTATAATTATGTGTGCAACATGAAATATAATTGGAATGCTGCCTTTGTATTTGTGATGATGAACTACTATACAGAGTGATATAACACACTCTCACAAGTTACTCAATAGGTAGTGGGGTTGTCGTTCAGAATCTCTTGTGTCTTTTTCGAACCTTCCTATGTTCCTCGTTGGTGGTAGTTTCACTTTCATTGTTCCTGTACTTGTGTCCAGCAGCTGTGAGTTTGCGGGGATATGTCTGCTTCGAGGAGGTGTGATGGGAGATTCAGTCAGGGGTGCAGTCTGTACCGGGCACTCCAAACATTCCTTAAATACTTCAGTGCTGGACAGGGTCACTCATAATGTGCAATGTGGAATCTCTCATGCTACCACTTACTTTAGGCCAGCGTTTGACTTTTGCTCATTAAGTTCTAAATGAAAGAATAAAAGTGAAACCCTAAATGCTGCTTTTGAAAGACAAAGTGTGCTGTTAAATGTAATATCCTATCCTGCTTAATCAGTATAGGTTTAAACGTTCAGTTTTCCGATTGTATTGCTTCTCAATGACTGACTCGATTTTTAAATGAATCTGATCATTTTTAATGAAAACGGGTTGAATGAGACTGTCCCTTCTTCTGGCTTGAGAGGCAATTTTTCAGTTTCCTGTGTTTCTTTGTCTAGACTCTAGAGCTCTGATATGAATTTCAGGTCTGCCCCATGGAAATTGCTGTATTACCTTGTCACAATCGATTGTGCAACCATTAGTGATTTTCTTCAGTAACCAATGTGTGGACAACTTTTTTAAATTATTGTTCTATTTCTTCTGTTTTGTTGCATAAGTAATTTTTCAAAGAATGTTTTTTGTATTTGATTGAATTATCAGGGTAAAACAAATATACATTACTGTTCAATAGGTTGCTGTCGTTAAGAGTTTTGAAAGAAGGCAGTGGTTATTTTATCAAAGGTACAGCAAAAACAACAATAGTGAGAAGTTATTATTAATTAAAACAACTTTTTTTATTTTTTAATATTGGTATTCTGTGAATCTTTACTTGCCTCATAATTCATAAAAATTATCACATTCCATTTATTTCTTAAAAAAAGTATTCATCCATGTCCATTTCATTGTCCATTGCTCTAGTCTTCAGTGTCAAATGATCCTTTGAAATAATCCTTTGAAATAATTTTAATATGCTGATGAATGGTACTCAAGAAACAGTTGTGCTGCCTGCTTCCTTTTCTTTTGTGGAGAGACTGAGCATTTATTTTAAATATAATCTTTTATAAGATTATAAAAGTATTTAGCTGTCACTTACTCCCTTTTTAAAAAAAAAAAATATAAATAATAATCTGTTTGACCCAAAACTATTAGTTCGAATAATGTATATAAGCCATAAAGCAAAAGCTTTTTAATAAAGTATCCAGTGGCAGCCAATAAAGCTGCATCATATAAGGCTATTCTCAACTTTTTTGGGTGTATTAGCTGTTTGTTTCATTGGACAATGTGTTATTGTGACAAGAAGAGAATACAATTTTACACAGTAGGAAAGGAACAATATTTTCTAATGTTTTAAAATTACAGTTTTCAGCATTTTATTTACTAGTTCTTTTGGTTTGTATTTCATGGATTAAATAATCAAGGATGCTTTGTGACTGAGTTGAATCTATTGTTGCACGCAAGTTGTTCAGTAGTGCACTGCATTACCTAATTACCCATCAGCTGCAAACTGATGCCACTCTCCAACTTGCATGTGTGTTTTGTGAGTCGAGTCCCTGTACCGAACACTGTACTGTTGTCTTTGGTGAGATGATGTGTAATCCGTTCCATCAGAAAGCCCTCTATCAAGCTCTGACCTGCAGTCACGTTCACATAAAGACTTTGTGTATGTAGCACATGCAAAGCATTGTGGAACATTATCACATTGGAGTGAGGCTACTGCTTTTAGTGCTGCACAATGACTGAATAACAAATAACGGTTGTTGGCCAACAAGAAAAACACTGTTGTTTTTGTTGCATTATACATGCATTACCTGGAATATTCAAAAGGAGACTCAGTGTTTTGTTTCTGATGAATGACCTGAAACATAAAAAGACCCATGTCTATTCAAAGTTTTTAATATGTGTGTGAAATTAAGTTTTTGCCTGCAAATTGTGGAGCGTTGTTGGGAAATCTTTGTTTAAAACAAGCAACATTGACATTGCATTGCTCTTCTTGTTTTAATCACAGCATTTTAGTGGACAGAAGCAGCAGGTTCTGTAAACACTGGGTTGGTCTGATAAGGAGAACTAATGACAGAGTTTAGTTCCAAGGTCAAGCTGTTTTTGCAGTGCTCTGTACTGGGCTTGGAAAAACAAACACCGCAGGCCTGTTTCTGCTAAGCTAGCTTGCAAACTTTTACAAAGATATCAGCCTAATTGAATTGAATTGTTTCCCCAACTCTTTAGGCCGTTTTGAGGAGTCAGTATCTCTCCTTATTAAAAGCCAATCCGCAGAGACAGTGTTCCTGGCCAGGGCTCGTCTCAAGAGCATTGACCACAGAGACGTCTTTCTCACTGTTCACCAGTGCATAATGGTATGTGTCTGGAATGCCAGACTCAACCAGGAAGTGTTTGACTGTTCGAGTTTGACTGCTTTACACTTTTTAATGTCAGACACAAAGCTTGATTGATAGTGCTCTTTTGTAAACATTTCAAACCTTGTTTTGTGGGCTGATGTGGGCAGGAAGTGTTTATGGAAAATGATTAATTTACACTTATTGTGTTAGTATTGTAATGCATTTGTATTTCTGTGTCATGTGTGAAGCAGCTGTACATGTAGATCTCTGCTAGAGAACCTGCTCCTGTCACTCATGACTGATTCTCACCTGTTCCAAAGAAACGATCTCACAGGCGCAAGTTAACAGCCTCAGTTTTTCTGTGTAGCATGTAATCGTAAGCTCAGCTGGGTTTGAAATTGCTTCCTTTTTCCCTTAGTATTGACACGACTATAGTGTTCTACATTTGTTTTGCTAGCTCATCTAAATGCAAATGTTTTTTTCTTTCTTGACTCATTACCGTACTGTTAACGTATTTGCTTCATGATTCAAGTAGTCTGTTATTATCTGTAGTTAACATACTTGTCTGTCAAAGGACTACTTACATTGAGCTTCATGACGCCCTTCCATTATGAAATGGCTCACAAGGTGATATGAGGTTTTAACTCTTTTGTTTCCGGTTATGCACATTCAATGTGCTGTCACCTAGCTGACTAAACGCAAACCTCTACAATGCGAGTAAATCTTCACTCTGGGTTACTAAATAATGTCTATCATTAGCCATTGGCTAATAAATTCTTAGATTGTACTTGCCGCCAATGTGCGTTAGAGGCCAATTAAAAATTTAGCATAGATGTATTTTCACTTGCTGACTGAACACTGACTGAGCACATGAGTTTTGCTCTCTGTCGAGTGATCTGTACTTTTTCAATTCAGCCCAATGGATGTGCTGTGTACCTGTAAACTCTAATGTGAAGGTGCCTGACTTGCTGTCACTGACATTACGTCTCGCACACGAAGAGAGAGTGAGAGTCTTACATGCCACGCAGAATCAACATGCTTCATGTTCGCTAATATCAATACTACAAGGATACACGTCACTTTGTTGTATTTTTCTGTCAAAACAACAGCGTTCATTTGGAATTATTCAGCTTTTAAGAAAAAGCAGAAGATATGTTGGTTTCTCTGGTGTTGGGTGGAACTTACTTGCTCCAAGAGGTACATTTTAAGTTGCTATAAGCATGAGTTATAAGTAATAAGTTGCTAGGATGAGTGACACAGTTGCTCATCAAAAATGTCAAATGAGTTATGACTGCTCATCGCTATTTGTAAATTGATGTTTCCTCTGTAGTGCTTGTGCACGCTTTCTTCCTCTAGTGAATATATATATATATATATATATATATATATATACTTCTGGAAACTATTTTGAATACTTTCCAGTTCTGCAACTTTTGAGTTCTTCACTCGCTCTGAATGTTTTTATTACCCTCAATGTTAGAAACAGCACTTCATAAAACATTCACATGGATTCTAAGACTCCTGAAGCTGTGACCTCATGGCCCAGCTGACATTGTCTCAAAAGATCAGGTTGCACTTCAAATGCTTCACTCTTTTGAAAAATGCCTCTTGCTGCTGCATCGTCCCAGGAAGCAGCATAGTTTTCCCAGGCTCAGCCTGTCAGGTGTAGGAGGGGGTTTCGGCCCAATCATATCAGAGCCCAGTATTTGGATTCTGGGAGTGTCTCTGATTCCCATGGAGAGAATGGGCAGGGCAAAAGTGAGAAAAGGGAAAGCATGGAGAGCTGGACTGCTTTGTTTTGTACTGCATAAAGAGACTGTTGTTGAAATGCTCGGAAAGGTGAAGTGAGAGAGCTGACATTTTAAAATGAACAGCTGACTATGTGTCTCTCCCTGTGTTTTGTGAATGAACTTGCTATCAGTTTATTTCTTAATATGTACAGTACACTACTGCTGAAAAGTTTGGATTTGTTTTTATGAATGGAAAAAAACAGCTTTATTAAAATAGATTTTGAATTATGTAATGCCGTTACTGTCTAAAAAACAAACAAATTCATGCTATACTGTATAAAAGTATTAATTTGTCATTATTTTATCACCCCAAAACTTTTGAACGGTGGTGTATGACCACTGAGGTTTCGCTGAACGATTTAGCAGATAATTATTTTTGTCTTTCCCTGGTTCTAGGTCTGATGGTCTACTGCAGCCATGTTCAGCAAGAAGAAAAAGCAACGTGTCCAGATCTCGGCACCCTCCAACTTTGAGCATCGTGTCCACACTGATTTTGATGAGCATGAGCAGAAGTTCGTGGGACTTCCGCGCCAATGGCAGAGCCTCATTGAGGACACGGCCAAGAGGCCCAAACCCTTCATCGACGCCACAGTCATCACTACTGTAGAGCCACGCAAGGTCAGAGGGAGGGAGTCTGCTGTGTGTTTGGTTTAGGTTTTGATTTAAGCTTTGTAGTTTTTGTATGTTACAATCGATGAGGTAAAGTACTAAGTTTTGGATTTACTAAAGGTAATTTATTTAATAATGATTCTTGGGGATGTTTACAAGTAGGGTTGGGAATCTTGGAAACTGATTTAAAAAAAAATGGAACTTGTTCCACTTTTTGACTTAAAGAATTGGTGTGACCTTGAAAAAAGTAAACCAATTACTAGGGATCTGATACCTATACTTCCTTTCTTTTTTTGGACTTGCCTATACACCATACCTATACCTGTATGTTCATTGGATTTGTAATTTTTTTTTTTTTTAAATATTGGTTAGAGAATCCGAAAGAATATAAATCAAATTAGTTGGCTTAAGTTTTTAAAAAATATGTATTTTCTTATGCCTAATTATCCCTTTTAAAATGTACTTTAGGAGCTTCTGTTACTTTCAGTGTTCATTTTATTACTTCATATCATAAGTTATTTTATTTATTGAGTATTGGAATGTCTTTATTTCAGTGTGAAAATTGAATCTATATTTTTGACAATACTAATGTGTGTGTGTATGTATTTTGTTATCTTTTGCCTTTTCCCTTTTATCTATTCTCCATAAATCCCTCATAACCTGTTTGTATTGCACAGGCAATCGTGCGGGGTCGCAAGATCGGTGATGATGGCTCTCTCACGTGGCTCCTGGATGAGTTTGACACCATGTCGGTGATCCGCTCAAACTCTCTGCGGAGAGGCAGTCCACCACCACCACCACGCAGAGACTCCGGATCATCAATAGGAGGCCACGAGAATGGCGATTACCCCCAATACAGACATCCTGATCGCTATGGAGACAGCAAAGAGAGGTGCACAACCGACATCTCTTACTTTAAAATAAAATTACGGTTTCCAGTGACTATCATGGAAATATTGACAGTGAGGCTGATTTTTTTTTTTTTTTTTTTTTAATTGTCCATGTAGGGAGAAACCACGTCAGGAGCACCCAAGTGCTGATCCCAGACAGTCTCAGCGACCAGCCCGTTCATCCAGAGAGGACAGCAGACCTCACCAGCAGCCTCGCGGTCAGGAGCCCAACAGACACAAAGAGCCTGACTGGTCAGGAGGGCCAGCTCCACCGCCCCAGCACAGAGAACGAGACCGAGAACAACGTGGTCATCATGATCAGGTTGTAAGGAGAGAGGGGGCCAATGATAAGAGGCCCAAATCCAGCTACACTGGAAGGGACAGTAGCCCACAGACTCCCCGTGAGAAGAGACCACTGTCTGGGCCAAATATCCGCACCCCTAACCTACCTGTTACAGAGGGAGTAATAAAGACTGCACAGCAGACTGGCCGGCCTTTCAACACATACCCACGTGCTGAAAGTGACTCTGGAAGAAGCCCCAGCGGTCAGGTACACAGAAATAAAACTAAATATACTACTATGTTTCTAGAATATGAACAATTATAGATGTTTTTTGTAGGGCTGTGCTGCGTGTATTTTATAAAATATATCTATATGATATAGAAATGAAATGAAAAAAAAAATCAAATATAAAATAACTGGATAGTCTTTATTGTATAAATGAAATTCAGAACATTGACATTGTGTCCTTTGTTCTTGGACACCTTTAGGTTTATTAGGCTGCTGTCAGTTATGAGCTTATGCACAGATCCAATGTACTGTTACACAACATAATAATATATAAATTCTCATTCATCCCTGTTTTGCAGGATTTAAAACCAGCCAAATCTCATGAACCTTCCCACCACAACGACCACCCTACTGGGGCTGTCCGGGGAGGCAGTAGTGGCAGTAAAACTACTTCTCAGGGGCAGCACAGAGCAGAGCCCCAGCATCACGCCTCCCACCCAGCCTTAGGCCCTGAGCCTCCTCACAACCAGCAGATTCCCCCGGCACCAAAACCATCCGCCCCGACTGCACCACCCCAGCAGGCGCGCTCACCTCAGAGGGAGCCACAGCGGGTCTCCCACGAACAGTTCCGTGCTGCTCTACAGATGGTGGTTGACCCCGGGGACCCACGCACTTATCTGGACCACTACATCAAGATTGGGGAAGGTTCCACTGGCATTGTTTGTATTGCTACAGTGAAGACCACCGGCAAGCTGGTGGCTGTGAAGAAGATGGATCTGCGAAAACAGCAGCGACGAGAATTGCTGTTTAACGAGGTGGGTGCAATCCACACGAGATTACTGTGTTATAATTGGTTGTTTAGATTGTGTGATATGCTGCACATAGGAGCTGAAAATTCTTCTTCAGCAAACACTTTTTGTAGATTGTACATAAAGACATTGTGAAAATTATTATTGCTGGTGGATTCTCCTCCGTTTCTTTCCTTAGCCACTTAATTTTTTTAATATAAACTTGTCTGCTTGCTGTGTTTCTTGTTTCTAAGGTGGTGATCATGCGGGACTATCACCATGAGAACGTGGTGGAGATGTACAACAGTTACTTAGTGGGCGATGAGCTCTGGGTTGTCATGGAGTTCCTTGAGGGTGGAGCTTTAACTGACATAGTCACACATACCAGGCAAGTATTTCTCAGAAGTCAAATCACTAATTGATTTTCTGTCATGCTCTTAATCGCACACATTTTTAGATTCTGTTTAAAACAATTCATGGTTCTATTAGTTTTAAATTCTTTGTTTTTTTTATTTTGCTGTATTTTCAAATTCTGTTTGAAATTAATTGTTAAATTTTGTGTCGTTTTTTAATTTTTTTATTTTATTGCAGCATGCCTATTAAGCCACCAAGATGAAAATATGATAAAGTATGAAAAAGACCACAAATATTTAGGAAATAAATAATTCTATTGGCTTTGTGACAGAATTTAAAAAAATATATATTATACATTTTTTAATACAATTATTATTAAATATACGAATATATGAAATACATTTAGTGTACATTAATAGCTGTTCACCTGTTACTGGGTAATAATTCAGAACCACCAGGTGGCAGAGTATCACAGCAGTCCAGTGTTGTCATTCAGCCTTATGATCATTTGTGACCCTGGATCACAGAACCAGTCAGCACAGGTATATTTGTGGCAATAGCCAACAATGCATTGTATTGGGTCAAAATTATCGATTTTTCTTTTATGCCAACAATCCTTAGGATATTAAGTAGAGATCATGTTCCATGAAGATTTTGTATATTTCATACCATGAATTTATACGTTTACATGGTTTATATAAATATTTGGTTTTGTCATCCAGGGTCACATTTTATCAGCTTTAAAGATTTCATTCAATGTTTAACATTTCAGTTATGTTATTTGACTGATTTCAGGATGAATGAGGAGCAGATCGCCACTGTGTGTCTGTCTGTTCTGAAAGCGCTCTCGGTCCTTCACTCCCAGGGAGTCATTCACAGAGACATTAAGAGTGATTCTATTCTTCTCACCCATGATGGCAGAGTAAGTCCCTCACAGCTCTTCAATGAAAATTCAATTACGTCAGATGATAACCAGTTCTTTGGCCCTATTGTATTCAGTTGGGGTAGATGAGCTGAAGCCTTACATGACATGTTTTGACTTGTTATGAGATCAGAAAACTGTCCTACTCGCTGTCATTGTTGTGTTGTTTTCTGAGAACCTTGGTTGATCTTTAAACAGGTTCTTGACAGACCTGTTTGTTCTTTTGTGTTCTCAGACCAGCATGTCTTCTCTTGTGATGAACGGATGACCTAAATATGCTAAAAAGGGCTTGGTAAAAAAGATTTCTCGATTTTAATCGATTCTCATTTTTACGAACCAAAATCGATTCTTAAATCCTATCCAATAAATTGCAATAATCTTTGTGCTTTGTTACTGTTGATACCGTTTTGGCGCTGTGGCGTGAGATCGCTCAACAGAAGCAGCAGCACATGATCTTCTCTTCTGCCTTTATAATACCAGTTACAGCGTGAAATAAACATGAATGAGCAACCGAAAGTGAGTTAGATAGTAAAGATACAGATACAGTACAACTTATCGAAATCCATATCATGTCATATGGAATCACTCAATCGGTATTTCAACCGTGGAAAGACGTCAGTAAAACTAATAAAAATTTGTTAACTTTTACCTTCAATATTATAGTTGGCTAATGAAGCCTAGTAGGCTACTACTGACTCCAATTTACAGCATTAGTTGTTTTCCTTGAGAAAATTTGCCATGTATTGTACCTGATATACAAATTAATCAATATTTAATGCAATTGAATTGCAAGCTTGTGAATCGAAATCAAAAATTTGTCAATACCCAGCCCTAATTAAATGTGCCATTTAAGTCAGCAAAGTAAATTGTTGACAGAGTACCAAAACCTCAAGAACATTTCCGTCATTTATGTATTTAAGAGCTCTCAAATAGACCCTGGTTTTAAAAGACCATCCCTTGTGATGCACATTTTTCTTTTTCTTTTTTTTTAGCTACATGCTTGTCATTGCATTCACAGAAATCTAATTCTGCAATATCCGGCCATGTATTTTTGATGGCCCTGCAATAGGCAGTGGTTTGTTAAACAGGGTCTGTTTCATTGTGTCTGTGGTTGAAATAGACGGAAGTTCTTTAAGCCACCCTCAGCTGTTTCTCGGCAGTGGCTGATTGCCTGTGTGTGTCTTTGACCTTACATGTTTCATTTCCTCTTGCAAGTGTCTGACGCTGCTTCTCATGCATTGCCAAAGGGCATAGTTTTTTGTGTATTTAGTCAAGCAATGCATTGCAGAAGCTTTCACAGAAAATTTGGAAACTTGGAAAGCTTATTTTTTAAATACTATTATTTGTGATGCAAACAGGGCTTTTTTTTCCCTTTCACATGCTCGTTTGCGGTGTAATTTGATGCAACAGTGAATATTTTAGAGCACATGATCTTAATTAAAAATATTCAAGCCACCAGTGCATAATTCACACATTTATAAATGTTGTTGATGTATATAAATATGTACTTGTGCAAGTGATCTGTGAAGAGCGCTGTTGGTAAATTGTATAATAGACATGGTGAATTATAAAATTTCATGTTATTTTTGTAGATGACTGACGTAGATTACTTTTGTCATGATGCAAACAGGTTTTGCTCAGACACTTAAAAAGAGGAGTAATTAACTATAGATCCATAATAATAATAATAATAATAGTTCCATCTCAGCAAATGAAGAAGCTAGCCTAAATGATAGTTTCCATTTATTCTGGCAGGTAATATAACTTCCTCTCTTTCTTTTGGTTTTATCCCTATTTTCAGGTGAAGCTGTCAGACTTTGGCTTTTGTGCCCAGGTCTCTAAAGAGGTACAGCGCAGGAAGTCTCTTGTAGGAACACCCTATTGGATGGCCCCTGAGCTTATCTCAAGACTCCCATATGGACCAGAGGCAAGTCCCATCCTCCTTTACTGTTTTCATATTATGTTGCATTACTGCTGACATTACTGCAGCTTATACAGTCAAAACTGTTTCAACAGGTGGATATTTGGTCACTTGGCATTATGGTTATTGAAATGGTAGATGGAGAGCCGCCATACTTTAATGAGCCTCCTCTCAAGGCTATGAAAATGATCCGAGACAATTTGCCACCCAAGCTCAAAAACCTTCACAAGGTAGGCCTGCAACCTCTTGCTTAAGCATGAAGGCAAAAATGTTACGCATTACAATGTTGTTCTGTATCCATAGGTCTCGCCACTTCTCAAGGGATTCTTGGACAGGATGCTCGTGCGAGATCCTGCCCAGAGGGCCACAGCTCAAGAGCTGCTAAAGCATCCCTTCCTGAGTAAAGCAGGCCCTCCCTCTTGCATTGTTCCCCTCATGAGACAAAACCGCATGAGATGAGAAGAGAAATCAGGGTGGGATCTGTCAGGCCCTCTACTGAGCTGCAGTCTGTACTCCACACACTTTAAACATCTGAAATGATTGTACAGGTCAAGAATTTTAGGAGAAAAGGCCATTGATGCTTGAGGCCTTTTTGGAACAAACATTTTTACCACTGTTTTTTTTACACCTATAGAGTACACCCCATTTGGTGACATGAAAAAGACACCATTAGATCCTTCACAGTGTTCTGCTCGAAGAGGTTTTCCTCTCTGGCAAATTTAGAAACACCAGAGTGTTCTCAGTGGTTTTATGCTTGACCTCTAAGACTGCTTTTGGGTGAACTGAGTTAAGGAGGATTAGACATAATGAAAACAAACCACTTGCAGATTCTAATCTGCCCTCAATGTAAAGCAACAAATTGATGGATTTGTTCCAAACCTCAAGCTTTTTTTCCTGCACTTCATCTTTTGCACCAGGACCACACTACTCATTAATCCATTTGAACAGGAAAACAACTACTGAAGAAATCTTTTATTTTATAAAAAAAAAAAAAATAATAATAAGACTGTAAGAAACTCTAGGCTCCTGTTACAACACTAAGCAATGGTAAACACTGGAGGTGTTTTGTTTCGGACCTTTTTTAATTTTGTTTTAATGAAAGTGGAGAGCTATATCGGTTTTGTTTTCATAGTGTGTTTTGAGTGACAGTGTGATAGTTTAAAACGCTGTTCTGAGATTGAGCTGCACTCCAATATGAAGCTTCCTCCTTTGATTCATTGTTCCACTTTTTCAATATAATAAGGGGGGGGGGGGGGGGGTTGGGTGTAGGGTTTTTCTTCTCTTCCAAAACTTTCACCAGGGCGCCACACCACAGAGGAGTTCGAGTTGTTTTCCATGTAGGGCAGTCTGCAGGAGAATATCCTTTCATGTGTGCTTAAATCCTTCAGCTAAGTAGCTTACATCTTTGAAGACTTGCGGCCTTTCTCTGAAAGATTCGTTTGAAGGAGAGATGCTGGACTGTACCAATGTATAGTTGAGAGTTACATATGCTCTAATTCAGGAGAGCTTGTTCACAGGAAGTGGAACTTATAGATTGCGCTTGATCCCACACACTAAAGTTTAGGCCGGAATGCTCATATAATTGGTCATTTACATGACATTCAAGGATTTAAGAGAAGAGTAATGGAACAACCAAAGATGCTCTGAAATACTGGAAGTTTATAGTCCGAACATATTCCAAGCACACTACATCACATCGCATTAAAGGGATAGTTTATCCAAAAATGAAAATTGTGATTTATTCTCCTTTTTTTTTTTTCTTCTGCAATGTTGTTTTGGAGCCCATCAACAGAAGTAAATGTGTGTGCAAAACAGATGAAATTATGCCATACAGGTTTGGAAGAACATAACAAATTTTTCAATTTGGGGTGAACTATCCCTTTAAGACTTAGTCACAAAGATCCAGGACCAAAGTGGTTGAAAATGCTGAAAAAAACAAACAAACTGAAAGGTGTTTAAATATTTAGTTTTGTTGTAGTGACTCCACATGAGTAAATGCACATTTGTGTGAATATCAAGATCACAGTTACATTCGGTGATTTACAAATTGTTCGAAGATGAATTGTAGATTAATCCTAGACTGAAACGGTAGCTAATGTATATATTTAGATTTTTTCGAAAAAAAAAAAAATCCTTTTGCTGATGGCCTAAACTGTAACACAGCAACCATAACTCTAATTGTAGATGTGAAGGTTTGAGAAAATTAATGACAGACATAATTAATATAAAAATACTATTAGGATTTACTATTTTTTTTTCCACCAGTAAAAGTTTTTAATTATATTTCTTTACATGCTGGGCTGCGTTACTTTTTCAGAAGGTGAAATGATGACAATCGGGCATTGAAGCAAAGTATATACACTAGCATTTAAATGTACATTCAGAAATGAATAAATAATGAAATTGAGAGAGTAGCGTTTTATAGGCTCATGTTTATCTGTGAAATATTGTAGGGATTGTAGATTGTTGCATAACATCCCCAGTGCACTGAAGCAACAGATACGTTTAGCATTTCTACAAAGAAAACAATGCCTTAATGCATGAATATCTTTAATGCATAACTGAAAATGAACAGTGGCACAATTGTGGGCAGTGGCACAATTGCTTTGTGACCAACCATGCATTCACTTTTTTATATATTATAAACCTGCAAAGTTGAATGATTATTGACTGTTTTGAGAGAGGATACCTCCTTTGACCACAAGCCTTATGTTATTGCATTGTGTAAATAGAAAAATGCTGTACTGTGAGCAAAATGGCATAATTCATGATTGTCTAAAAAAAAAGACTGATCCAGCGAACGTGTTGAATTGCTTCCAGAAATTACTTCTCCTTTTTTTTGAATCTCATTCCCAGGCCCAATCAGAGTATGATCTCTTGTGCGGTAAGGTAATCTGTTTTGTTTGTTCAGTTTTTAATTTTGTTCCTTAATTGGTGCTCATAAACAGTACTGCAAATGCTCTATGGAAAGGGTACATTGTATTATCACTTTGTCTCTATCTCAGATTGTCGCTGCATTAAAACTAATGGATTGCCCATGTTCTGCTGATGACTTATTTTAAGCCTAATATGTTTCTAATTAATCTTGCACTGCATTTTTTGATTTATATCATAATTTTCTCATCATGTAGATAGTTTTTTAAGAAACATTGCTTTGAAGGTGGAATAGAAGCATGAACTTTGTGTCCTCACTGGCATTCTGACATCATCTTGATGTTGCCCCATATCTGACGGAGTAACTTTGGACTAATGTGTTAAAATCATCTTCAACATCCTTTTGGAACTGCTACTGACAGGCCTGCATTTTTGTGACATGTAAAATGGTTCTGTTCAAATTGGTTCTGTTGTTTTCTCTTTATTGTTATAATGTCATGTTTGGTGGTCAACCAATGTCAGAGTTCCCTCTATAACGTGAATTTTTACTGGTGGTAAAATGAACTTTAAACTGATGTGTTTTTTCTTTTGTTTTACCAAATACAGTTTTTAAACGACATATTCCGGCTCTTTCATTTCACTCTTTAAGTCAAATGTGTTAGTATTTTGCTGGAGTCTTCGGAGAACTGTTGTGCTATTTTTTTCTCCAGGATGTAAAGTTATCATTTTGTTTTGTTGATGTTTCTAGGTAATATGTGGTCATTATCTATTCTAGATGGTGTTAACTGGGAAAGTACTGACAATGAATGTCATCATTTAATTATAACATTGTGTAATAGTCATGATAAAATGTTAATGTATGTTGTATTATAATTGTATATAATAATTAGATCATGCCGATACGTCAGTGACATGAAGAATGGAGAAAACAATTCATATGAATCCAATATCAAAAACATTTGAATGCGGCCAGAAAAGCAGTCTAGGTAGGCAGCTCATCGCCATTGTCACTGCATATTTCTGCTTTTTCGCTCTCATGCGATTCATTTATCCACCCTTTTTATCACTTCTGTTATCTGCGTTTTCCTCTGACTGTAATAAGGTAAATGGGGAAGAGGGTGCTTTAGGCGTGGTCGTGAATATATTTTTGTTACGCTACAAGCACAATACCGTTTTCCACGAACTGCTTTCGGTTTCCAGAATATGTTGGTCAATATGGGCGGTGCGCTCTCTTCGCTGTTGGGCGGGGCTGTCGTGAGCGCGCATGACGGCGACCAATCAGAGCTCGAGCTGCTCATGATAACTCAGCTGTGCGGTGAGTCATCTGACAGCTGTTCGGGAATACATGCACTTGTTGAATCAGGTCCCATTCAGGCGGTGGGCAGAGGTTTTGCGTTAAGTTATATGACATCCTAACGAACCCATTGTAAATAAAAAATACACTAAAGAGCCGACTGGATTAAATCGATTTTATTTTAACCACATCACTGCAAGCTGCTTTGCCAGGTGAGTTTCATTTTGAATCAGACTAAAGGCTAATTCATTAACTGACAGACAATCGCCAATAAACACGTTTGTTGGGTTTGTTTTCACCTGTCTGACCATGATTAATCCGTGTTTGTCGGTGTCTGTTGGGGCATTATGAACATGCGTTATTTTTTTTTACAATATTCTAAATCCAACGAGCAAGCGAATTGGCTTATACACGAATATTATAACAATATGCTGCTACAATGGAGCTTTTGTGCACCTGTCTGTTTTTCACAAACCCACAGTATGCGTGTGAATGGTGCTATTGAATCAGTCGGGTTTTGTGCAGTGTTGTAGTGCACCTCAATGACGGACAGCATTAGCATTGTAGATTAATGGCTTGATTTGCGAAGAATCAAGGATCATCAGTTCTCTTTTGTTGCGTGTCAGTGATGTCTTGGTGATGTTTCACAGCATACCCGTTATAGTTTTCTAATGGCCAGTTAACAGAAAATACATATTAATAACGTATAGCTGAGCACTTTAACGCTGCTGTCACGACTAAAATCATTTTTTGTCACAACATCATATAGCCTACACAAATGTCACGGTGTACTGAAATCATGTGTGGAGATATTTTCCCCGACCATAACAATTATTTGTAATGATTATCTTCAATAATTGTTTTATTTCTGATTAAATGGTTATAACAAATCGTTTTCTGCAAATCTAAATTGTTTCATTTTAATTCTTTAAATTTCATTTATTTAGTTGCTTCATATTTATTCCATTTATTAGTGGTCAACTGATTCATATTCTATTACTAATTTGTAATTACAGCCATGGATTGATAGTAGAACATATCATACATAGGCTTACACAATATTATGCATAGTGTATATATAATAAAAATAAACATAATGTGCAATACAATATTGCTGTATGCAGCTCACATACATTAGTACTACAAAATGCACGTTCACATTTAAGTTTAATAATGCATTTAGTAAAGTAGCAGACAGCAAGCTGCCCACGTTGTGGCCTGTTTTTGGCCAGGCTTTTGATTGAAAATGTCACGCTGCCGGGAAGGGGCAATCCCTCATTGCTACACAGATGACTACACCATTGTAGACATCAAAGCATGCATTCAGTGGTTGGGGTTCTTGACATGTTTGTTTATATCGTCCCTCAGTTTGCGGCAAAGCCGGCAGTCATTTTTAGACCACTATCTTTTGCATGAGAAGTTGCACTCTGGATTGTGTTATTCTAGGTTGACAGGCTGGGTGTGCCAGCTGTTGATACATCCCTCCTCTTTCTGTGCAACCTCACCAACATGTGGTTAATGGTTACCTTGGTTTAGTCAAATATAATACACTTAAACAAAATGAATCTCCGAATGACACTCAAATCTAATCTGTAAATGCAAGACTCCAACTCAGTAATAGAGGATGTGATCTGCTGATATGTGAATGGCTGCAGGTTACCGACTCTTTTTGTTTGATTGTTATCAGGACAGGTGTTTTGATGTCTGCACTGCGATTGTCTCTCTTGCCATGTCTGCGTACTGTCCTGAGCTGCGGGGTTCTCATGCTAGCGTCTCTGACAGACTTAACCTCAGGTATGAAGATTTCCTTTCAGCATACCACATCTTCCTCTTCCAGATAACCAGCCACTAACTTCCTTTGAAAGCCGCTTGTAAAGATAATCAAATTGTCATTTTACAATAATCGCTTATGAAAATCGTTCAAACTTTTTGGGGGTCAGTAGTAGGCCTATAGTTATTTGAAAGAAATTAATGCTTTTATTCATCGAGGAGGCATTCGGTTGCTAAAAACTGACAGTATAGACTTAAATTCTACCTGTTTACATTTCCTCGTTCTTTTGAACTCAAAAAAAGATATTTTGAAGAATGTGGGGGAAACTGAACAGTTCTAGGGCACCATTGACTGCCCCAAAGCAGCCTGGTTACAAAATTTCTTCAAAATATCTTCCTTTGTGTTCAGTAGTAGAACAAGGACACCTTTACACGTTTGGAACAACTTGAGGGTAAGGGTGAATTTTTAGGTGAACTATCAGCAAAATTGATAGTTTCTTGAGCACCAAATCAGCATTTGAATGATTTCCGAAGGATCATATGACACTGAAGACTGGAGTAATGCATAACAAGAATAAATTATATTCACTAAAATTCTTGAAAAGACAATTATTCATTATTATGTATTAGTTACCGTATGAATATAATGATTAGTTTGTTCAAATGTTAATAATTTTTTGTAAATGCATTATACCAATATTCTGCATCAAAAGTCATGTTCGCAACCAACATGCAGAACAAAAACATAAAATAGCAAATTGTACCATAGATACACTGAATGGTATAAAAGTTTCTTAACCATAATAACATGCATACTTTTTATTTTTTTAATTATAAGGCAGGAACTGCTCCTACCCGATCATGGAAGAGCATGTAGGTTTCCGCTGTGAACCCTCTCCCTGTCGTGGTTTTCCTCAAAAGAGCATCATTCGCTTCTTCTGCGAGCCCGGCTACACTCTTCCCAAACAGCACCATTGGTCAAAGTGTGAACGTGGGAAATGGCATCCGAAAGTGCCCACCTGTGTACCCCGATCAGGTAAGAGAAACAAAAAAAAAAATTTGTATTTGCTTGTGGCCGAATACCTGGCCCAACTACGTCAATCCAACCTGTTTTTAGAAGTACAAGACTTATGCAAAAGACTGGAAGCAGCGTATGCTGACAACTCAAACTATTTCATCTTACATCATTTTTCCGAAAGTTCTGCTTTCTCAATGAAGGAAATGTGTTAAAGAAAGGCATAATACACAAGCAGAACCATTAATAAACGACCTAGATAAACCCCAGGCGCCCGGATGTCAAGTAAAGTCCTAAACCAGAGGGGGAGGGAGGAGGGAGAAACCATGATGCTTCATTCTCTGCATTCACTTCCTTATCTGAGTTGAAACTTATCACGAGAGGAAACCAACTGCTTGAGCAGGAAGTTAGCAACGTCACCAAACTAACCAGTATTACTTTTTCTGTGATGCGATTAAAAGCCTTCGGAAAATGTATGCATCATAGAATCTGAATCAAAGGATATAAAGCCGTCACTCAACCACTTTTTCCAAAAAAACATGCTCCACATTTGGGCTTAATCTGCATGTCTGTACTTTTTCAAGCTCTTTGATGGAAAATCTTTAAATAGTTTGTATGTTGTTGTTTTTAAAACAGAGATTCCTGAAAAAATGGACTCAATCCCAAGTGTGGCTACAACTGCAATTGGAGTGTCCATCTTCCTCTTCACAACAACAGCCTGTTTGGTCATCAAATCCCGTCTACTCTCCTGCCGAACGCAACGGTATGTCATTTCACTTGCTCCAAATGCAATGAAAAAGTTTGGGGTTAGAAAGAATTTCTATTTTCATTTTGCAAGAATGCATTGGTCAACTGGTCAAAAGTGTCAGAAATCTTTTGTCACATTATACATGTCTTTACTAAAGCTGTTCAAATGGACCTTTCTAATTATCACACAATTCTTAAAAAACTATCACGGTTTCCACAAAAATGTTAATGAAGTAGTTCACTTTTAAAAAGACTTTTGCTGATAATTTACTCTCCCCATATCATCCAAGATGTCCATGTCTTTCTTTCTTCAGTCGAAAAGAAATTAAGGTTTTTGATGAAAATATTCCAGGATTTTTCTCCATATAATGGACTTCACTGGTAACCAAACGGTTCAAGGTCCAAAAGACAGTTTCAGTGCAAACCGCAAACTGTACAAAGGGCTTTAAACAATTCCAGACGATGAATAAGGGTCTTATCAAGCGAAACGATCGCTCATTTAAAAAAAAAAAAAAAGTTTAAGTTTTATAAGCTCATATGGTCACCTTGCTCTGTTCTGTGATGCGCATTCGTGACTCTCTTGTTCAAGCTCGTTCATCAATCAAAATGAACAAGTCTTTTTTCGATTTGTTCATTCAATGAACTAAATGAACGAATTGACTTGGAAAAAGATTTGTTCATTTTGATGAACGAGTTTGAACAGGAGTCTCACACAGAACAGAGCAAGGTGACCATTTGAGCTTATAAAACTTAAACTTTGTTTTTTTTTTTTTTTAAATGAGCGATCGTTTTGCTTGATAAGACCCCTATTCATCGCCTGGAATCGTTTAAAGTCTTTTGAACCTTGAACCGTTTGTTTCCCAGTAAAGTCCATTATATGGAGAAAAATCCTGGAATGTTTTCATCAAAAACCTCAATTTCTTTTCGACTGAAGAAAGAAAGACATGGATATCTTGGATGACATGGGGGTGAGTAAATTATCACCAAAAGTTTTTGTAAAAGTGAACTATTCCTTTAAGCAAATCTGTTTTCATCATTGATAATACTAATGTTTCTTGAGCACAAAATTGGCATGTTAGAATGATTTCTGAAGGATCATGTGACACTGAAGGCTGGAAAACGCTGGAAATTCAGCTTTACCGTTTATAGCACTGTTTTTCTTCTAGTTATTTACCTATAGCAGTTAATGAATTCGAAGTCTCACACATTCAAAGGAAATATTTTGCTTCCATGTTGCAAAATAAAGTGGATCTCAACATCACGTTAACTGTTGTGCCTTTCTCATCAGGCGTTCCTCAGACCAGTTGGACCTTGTGGTGGATGGTTTACCTGTATCTCTTCCCACATATGAGGAGGCAATCTACAGCAGTTGGGGCCAGCGACTCCCGTCGTTCCATGGACCCACTCGGCTCCTATTGGCCCAGGACGCATCAGAACACAGTCCGCTGACTTCGCTCATACAGTCCGATTCGAATCGTTGCCCCGTAGCGGTTAATCAGAGCACAGAGAATCCGCCGCCACCTTATGAAGAGGTCCAATCAAGATCCAGAGACACTGGGAACGACAGTGTCGAACGGGCATCTGATGATAAAAACAACTAATTACTGGACTATAAATGAACTCACCTTTAGCTTTGTGATTGTTCATTTCATTGCACTGGAGTCCTTGTGACTTTTCTTTCCACCTTTGATTGTGGATTCATCCTTTTGTGGCTTTCAACGACCTAATTGGTCTGATATATTTTGTGTTTCTAGGTGACCTGCTGCAATATAGATTTATCAATGTTTTCACTGAAAAGCTGAAGACGTGGCTATCATCTCCCCTCCATGAGGAGAAACAAGGTGTTTAAGAGGACTTTATGATTGATTAATGACTTTTAGTATTGCAGCTGTATTTGTGAGGATGAGATGCTGTGTAGTGAACTTTTTAGGGGTGATGATTCCTTTGACCTTTCACCTCATTTCTGTGTTTCTTAGAGCATTTGGATTTCTTGAATGTCATAGCCAGACTGAGATTTTGCCTGCTGACTGATGGATTGTATTATATATGTATAATTATTATTTTTTTTGATTCCTTACACCTGAAAAGATCTCTGTTAAATATTGCGTAAACATGTAGAATAGGGGAACTGACTTGAAGTATGCTTGCTGAATGGACATTGAATGTTTATATTTTTCAGTTATTTTATGATATGTAACATTTACATCTTGTAAATAATCCTGCACAAATAGTGTATGTAAAATTAATAATTGTACATTTTTAAAACTTTATGAATGGAATGTTTGCTATTAAAAATTATTTTAAATTTTTCCAGGGTTTTTGAGTGGTGTTTAACATGTTTACTTTGAGGTTATCAGAGGTTGATCCTCCCTAAAACCAACATTTTCAGTGATTTGTATGTAATGGTGTGGTCCATAACAGTACAGCTCTAATACAGTGTCAAGCTTGTTAAAAGTTGTTTTCAAGCTAGTTTGGGCACTCAGATCAATGTTGGATTTGCAGCAAAGGAAAGCAAGACACCTACACACTTACATTTGACCTACAAAAAACCCTCTGAATAAACTTGCTTAGGGCCTTTTTTCATAGTCAGTAGATCGTGTAAGATTAAAGTGGTGGTTTCCTGATTCTGCACTGAAAATGGCAGGTAGCAATTCAAATAGGCCAAAGTTAAATATGGTAAAACAATCAACAAAACATTTTTGGTTAATTTGTTAAATCCGGAGCAAACTGAGGTTAAACATTGCCCAATTGTTTACAGACTATGTTTGCAAAACTGTTCAAGTTGAAAGAGAGAGAGAGAGAGAGGGAGACATTTGGCAGTGCATAGACAGTAGCTTTCCAATAGAAATGTTCAACTACCGTACCAACAGTATCCCGTGACGCAAATTACTCAACTTTAGTTTTTTTTCTCTCAAAACGTAGCTAAAATGTATTGGTTTCTGGCGAAAATATTTTAGATTCACTAATGATGAAAAGATATAGATCCAAAATTCCCTCTGTAAAGATTTTAATGTAAACAACAGGTGTGCATATTTGTGCTTAATTTAAAAAATACATTTTTGTTCGAGAAGCATAGACAATAGAGAACCCGTCAGACAATAATAGAAACGATCGCAACTTCCTTTCAAGCAAGGTTTTGCATGTATTGACCTATTTTTTAAAGTCTATGGTAGTGACCGTATCCTTCCTTAAAGGAGTAGTTCAAAAAAAATTAAACTTTTGCTGATAATTTACTCACCCCCATGCCATCCAAGATGTCCATGTCTTTCTTTCTTCAGTCGAAAATATATTTTTTTTCTGTTTTGATGAAAACATTCCACGCATTGTTTACACAGAAGTTTAACTTTTCACTAAACATATTTAGAAACACGGGAAATCGCAATGGAAGACGATTCCGATATATCTAGCTAAATATGTTTAGTGAAAGGTAAAACTTCCGAAATCTCCGTGTAAACAATGCGTGACATAGACGCGTAAGAGATCACTTCCGGCGTAACGTCTGGAGACGGTTTAGTTCGGTTCAGTTGGACATCTGATTCAGATCATTTCGACGGCAAACTATATTACTGTTCATTTTCTCACACAAACCGCTCGTTTCGTGTCTTGGGCCATCAGCGTGTACTTACATTCACGAGTCATTAAATCATGTTTAATTTTGACTTCTCTGTGCATGCTCTTTGAGGTGGACCTGACTGATCAAGAACGGTTTCACCAAAAAATGTCAAAATTGAAAATGCTGTGGAAACAAAGACACCTACATCTTGGATGCCCTTGAGGTAAGCTAAAACATATTAAAATTTAATTTCAAAGAGAACTATCCCTTTAAGTTTTATAAGCACAAATGCTCGCCTTGCTTGTGTGAAATTAAATCCCTCATTCCTCACCGCTGCATCCTGTATTTTGAACTCGTGAATGCATTATGTGTGACAAAACATGTCCATCTATCTAGAAAATACGTTATATGCAATTAATATTGAGCTGTGTGAAACAAGAAGTTTTTTTGACAAACAAGTCGTTTTTAAATAATCCAGATGAATGCAATACAATATTTTGATGTTTGCAATAGTAACTTACACAGGTTTTAAAAGCATTTAAAATGTTTTATTTCTTTATCAGTCAATACAAGGTATACATACATTTGAAATATATGATGCAAAAATACACAAAGTAACATATAAAAAGTCCAAGTAATCAGAAGAACTGTAATCCATTTGTGAATGGCATGTGTCTTATCTGACACCATTTGAATAAGGCCCCTTGAGTCGTGTCTGTCCTAGCAACAGAAATCAGGGGGACATATAACAATCACAGTCAACTGAAAAAAGCTAAACTAATCCTGTATGCCGTCCTTTAAAACAAATAACTAGACCAAAGATGATCATGGGTTTCAGTCAAATACGACTGCAGTGTCAGCACCATAGCCTCTTTGAAAACCATTACAGACCATTAGATATACTGGAAAAGATACAGAACAGAAGACAGTACTATTTGTAATTCAACACCAAAGATACGTAGTATAGATTCACTTACAAGTTGTAATTATAATAGTATATTAAAATGCTTTATAAAAATCAGATGATCACTGATAGAGTATTTGTTGCGTTTGTCAGCTATGGCATCAGTGAATAATCTATTAACTAAAAAATCATGATCTCATCCACTCAAAACGAGCCTAACCCATGATTTTAGTCAACGGGATTCAACCCATTGAACCATTGTAAGAAATCACCTCGTGAACTTTCAGATAAACTTAGAGTCAAGTGAGGTTATGCTTGAAGTTTAGATTAAGGCTACAAGTGGTAGAACAAAATGTTAACACCATTTAACATATCCAGGCCAGTTTAGCTTCGATTTCTGCCCCCTTTTGGCAGCATTTGTTATTTGAAGAAACTGGACTGAACGCAGAAAACGAGGGTCTGACGAGAACCATTATTTTTCAGAAATGTCGCCATCTACTGACAAGTCTAAAAATCAGGGTCTGTTGAGAATGGGAAATTCATAAACAATCACTATATTAGACTAATTCTATTAACTACTTCTATTGTAACTACTCTTGACTATAGTATTGGGGCAAAAAAAAAAGTATGTGTGTATATACACAGTAATCAACATTTGAAGTGGATCAAAACCTTTCATTAAAGTTATATTATTATACATGAATTTTGAACAACACTCTTTCTTTGATTAACTTTTTGATCCACTTCAAATGTTGATCAATGTATATGCGTGTTTGTATGTATATATATAAACACACACACACACACATTTAAAAAAGAAGAGATGGACACGTGTAATAGAATGTTTAGACCAATTATCCTCCTGTGTTTCGTCTGTAAAACACCACTTTCTGAAATACATGTTAAGTTGATACATGTTGAGCGAGAAGAGGGTTATTTGTAACCTTCCCTGTTTGCGGTCGCTGTATTAGCTGAGAACTCGTCCACTCTATTCATTCTTCAAGTAAGGAACGCCATTGTTTCAGCAACAGGTGAGCGTGTTAAGTCAGGTGGGCGTGACAGGAAGGTGCCTCTCATGAGAGCTGTGTATGAGAAAACATAGCTAATGAGATAGCTTTTACAAATGAACTTGATCTTCAACAGGACTTTTGAAAATAACGTTACATACCTGCTGTATCACACAACGCCTGCACTCCGCCCAGTAACGGGTCCCTGTCGGTCAAAAGCTGACTTCGCTTTTGAGGTGGCGGTTCGAATTCTTCCGAAGGATCATCGGACAAGTCATTCTGCCATTCAAAAAAAAATGTGTTGTGTGAATGAAGTTTAAATGGTGACGGCCCAAAAATAACAGATCAATCCTTTGTCTTTACCAGTAATGTGTGGCTGAGCAGCAACTGTTCCTCTATGGAGCTGCTCAACTGTTTCTTCTCCCATTTGGCAGCCAGAACAGGAATGTCATCTTCCTCCTCATCTTCTAAACATCTATTGTAGATACAGACATAGAACGGCACATTAAATATCTTGTCTTATTCACTACTGTTCAAAAGTTTGGGGTGAGTAAGATTTGTTTAAGAGATTTTATTAAGACAATATGCATTAAATTGATCAAAAGTGACAGTAAACCATTTATAATGTTACAAAAGCTTTGTATTTATATAAATGCTGTTCTTTTGAACTTTCTATTTAATCAAAGAATCCAAGAAAAAAAAAGCACCAAATTAGCAAACTAGAATGATTTCTGAAGGATCATGTGACACTGATGCAAAGCTGTATATTCAGCATCATTAGTCCAATCTTCAAAGGAATATATTCAAATAGAAAACAGGAATTAAAACAGTAATATTGTAAAATGATTACAATTTACATTACAATTAATACTGTTTTACTGTATTTTGTGCAAATAAAAACATTTGAAAAATATCAGACCCCAAGCATGTTATCATAATTGAAACAACCAAACCAAACCATCTGAAAGGTCTTTTTTATTTTATTTTACAGTGATAGTATACATATAGAACTTTCAAGGATAACACAATAAAGTTACAAGCTTATTTCCATTGTGGTCCTCGTTGTAGTCTATTAAAGATGGCCAGGCAAGCTACACATGACTAAAAAGTACCTGGTACACTCAACCACATCCAAATACAAAATAAAATTAACAAATACATACACTAAAATAATAAATATTCCTAAAAACTACATCTAATTAGCATTTAGCAACCATTCGCCACATGCTCGATTAAAAAAGCGATCTGACTGGCTTAACATGGTTCCTATTGTTGAGGTTTAAAATCAACCTGACTAATTTATTCTGTGCCGTCTGAAGTTTAACTTTAATCCTCTTGGGCGTGGTGCTGTACCATGTAGTATAAGAATAATCGAAGTGTGGCTGAATCACAGCATTTGCTAACATTATTAAAGTTTCTTTATTTAGAAAATGAGCCTTACGTGCCAGAAATTTCATTCTTTGGTTCACTTTTGTGATAACCCGATAACCATTATCATCCTTACCGTTTCCTTGAAGTGTTTGTTATCTTTTCTGAAGATGCAGCCATTTCACTCTGGGGCAGGAAGGTCAACTGGAAGTCATCATCCATGGAGATATATGGAGCTAGCATGTCCAAATCGAGCTCATCCATAGCCTGTCAAAGAACGAAAGCATTAAACACCCGTGATTTTTCTCTCAAACACGTCTAAAACATCTCCGAAAATCATTTTGAGAACTACCTCTGACTGTCCTTTCAGAGTTACGCTCTCTTCAGGTTTGAGGGTGAATAACTTCTGTACCACTTCCATCTCCATGGGCAGCTCTTCAGCGGGGCTCTAAAACAGACCCTTAAACGTCAGATAAACCACTCAAAGACACCCAGACAAACGTACAATCTCATACTTACTGCAGCAGGTGGAGAGTTGGAGGGCTGAACGTCGAATATCGGAGAAAGGAGCTGGCGGAGTTCGGGTGTACAGAGTTCCTGAGGGCATTCTGGGATACTGTTGGGACTAGCTGGACGGCAGAAGGACAACTCCACACACTCTGTGAATTATAGGCCATATTAGGATCACGTTAGATTTTTCAAAGAATCCACAGCCATATTGATTTTAGAGGACCAATCACAAACGTTTCTTTTCTGTAGGATGATTGCGAGCACCTGTTAGGGAAATGATAGCATCTCCAGAGTGAGGTGCCAGCTGCAGTAACTCCTCTGGGTTCTCCTTCATCTGGAGGAAAAGCTCTGCAGTGCTGCTCTCCTCCATGTCGGAGTCCTCTTTCTCTTCCTCCTTATCCTCCTCCTCCTCCTCCTCCATCATCTCACTCAGCCTCTTAGTTTTGGGCTTTGGTTTCTCACAGGTCTGTTCCAATGAGAACACAACATCTGCCTCTTCCACGCCACTGCCAGAAAAAGGAAACAAGAATTACTCATCCTTTCACACCAGGGTTATTACCGTTAACTAAAACCATTAAAATATTCTTTTTCATAAAATGAAATATAAAAATAACTTAAACGTAATATAACATAGCCTGTTAATTGTCACTTTATATTGCGTTTATTTATAGCCTTTTTATTCAAAAGCATAAAAACTCAAAAGATGTCCTCTGAAAATTATTTGTCCTTTTTTTAAATTAGATTGTTAATTGGCTTTCAAATTGGTAACAGCTTGTGTTAACAATTTTAGTGTGCATTTACACGACAACAATGTACTAAAAACGGAAAAGGTTTTCCTTTTTTCACATACAGACGACAACGTTGTCAAAACGATTCTTGAAAACGATTTAATGTGCTGTATTATGCATGCCAGGCCAGTAGTTGGCGATGTCACTTTGTAAAGAAAAAACAAAGTGCCAATAGACTGAACACATAAAACACATTTTCAGAAATGTTCACAAATCAATAATGGTATCATTTTTGCAAAAACTTGCACTTTGAAACCCGTTTTCAGGCCCCTAAAACACCATTGACGTGTAAATGAACAGTCAATGGTGTCAATAAATTTTGACTAACTTTATTACTCTTTCTTTTTTAAGCTACTTTCACCCAAGGTTGGTCTCTTTTTAAAGCATTCGTGAATTTTAATCATTTTAGCTCAGATCAAACTCAAAGTGGGGTGACCGTTAACAGATTCAACAACTATTTTTTTTAAGTTAGTAATTTCACTTAAAATAAACAATATTTAGACACAAAAAAGATGAATAAAAATGACAAAATTACTAATACAAACTAAAAATAGAATTAAAATAGAAAATATAAAACTACTTCAAAATATTAATAAAATTAACAGTATATTAATTATATTAAAATAACACAGATTTACATTGACCAAGCAATGATAGACAGTGATCTACTAGGGCCCAAGAAATAGATGTTCCACTGAGTCAGACTGAGCTACCTGAGGATAAAGTTGAGGCAGACCACAGCCTCGGGTTGAGACGTCCTGCTGTTGTAGAGGACAGTGGCTTGAGTCTCAGTCCAGACAAATCCTCCATTCTTAGCCAGAAACCGGTAATGGCTGGTGCACACCTGGCCCTTGGTGAACACTGAAAGTACAGAGGAAAAGATACGGAATTAGCTTAGCTTAGTTTCTGTATTTTTTTCATTCCATAAAAGAAAACAATTAAACAATGTTATTGTGTATATTGTCATGGAATTTACAACAAATTAAGTCGTGGAGTTGAAACTGAATCCATTGTAAAAAGATATCACAGAAAAGAATGAAGAAAAACGTACAGATGTTTAAACTCCTGGTCACATGGTCAAAATCAAGGGCGTGAAAAAACTCATAAGCAGACTGGCCAATCAGATCCTCAGGGTGGTATCCAACAAGCTCAGTGACTCTGTGAACAGAAAGCAGTCAATCAATATTTTACTTCCCCTAACTAACATATAAAATACAATTTATTACAGCGATACACAAAACTACAGTTTTAATTTAATTCAAGCAGAAAACTGTCAATATTATATTCCAATCATTCAAACAGTCATTTGCTCGTGAGTCTGACTTCATTGTTCTTGTATGTGTTTGTGTCTTTTTGTTTGCTTTTGCGTGACGCTTGTGAGGACAATTCTTGTCATTATTTTAGAGTCTTTTTTAATCATATTATATTCAATTAAAACTGCAATTTCACATTCACTGTTGTTGTGTCCGAAACCAACAGTGAGACTATAAATATACTGTGCTCTAATTGCAAGCTGAGATAAAAACACAGGAAACTTGAGTCACATGCTTTCTCACACCATGAATGAAATCTGTCTTCAGCTGTCACACGTACACACTTCAAAAACAGCCAGCGAGAATAAAAGTCTACAAGGCTAATTAGGTTTGCAGATTGAGTGAGTAATGTTATATTCGCTGATTTCACTGTGTGTGTGTGAGTAGATTACACTGCGAGTAGGAAGGTGAATTTGGACACCTTACAGGCTGCTTCAAAGAGGTGAACAGAGCACACTCCTACACAGAGAAACTCTACTGACCCTCTGGAGTCATCTGACACTTGGTCATGAGATATCTGAACTTTTACGACCTTTGAGTGTATGCAGCGTACATCTAAGAGAATATGCATGAGCGTGTATTTCTGCATTTCTAAACATCTTACCGTCCGTCACACTGCGTGAAAGTCAGGTCCATGTTATGGCGTGTGAGGAAAGTGCTGCTGTCCAGTGGGAACTCAACGCTGGAAGGGTGAGGAATGGGCTCGCACAGCAATGTCAGGAAGCTGCCAGCAGGGAGCGAGTCATCACCACTGAACGTCTGCATGTGTCCTGTGCAATGAAGGACCTGGAAAAGATATCAAAAAAACTAATATTTAAAAAAAAATTGAAATGATAAAATTAGTCCAATCTGCGCTTTGGATAAATAATCCAAGGATGCATCAAATTAATGAAACATGACAGTAAAGGCTTTTAAAATGTTAAAAATATGTAAACACTGGTCCAGAAACACTTCCTGTTTAATGACGAGCGAAGCAAGCATTTAAGTTAGACCAGTGCATTCTTGGCGCTGAATGTAGTTGAACCTCTGCCGTCTGTGTATCTGTGTCCTGATTTATGCATTCATGGGACCTGACCCCATATTTCAACAAAGAGCCAAGCTGATGTAAAGCAGGACTACTGATACAGTCCTGCATACCCCTCAGAGCAATCTACACCCTCTAAAGATGAGCTAACAGGTGCTGCATATGAAAATAACTAAAGGAAGTCCAACACCAGTATTGATTAAACCATGTAATGCCATCAGAATTTTTATAAAAACAAAAATGGACACGAACTGTACATTTGCTATTCTGTGAGTTTGGATGAAGCTTGGGTCATTTACAGGCCATCAAATGTGTACTTACAATTACATGTAGGCCATCAATGTGTACTAACATTTACGAGTCATTAAATTATGTTTAATTTGGACTTCTCTGTGTATGCTCTTCCCCATAGACCTGCATTATATGACTGACAGACAAGAACGGTTTGACCTAAAAATATCAAAATTGAAAATACTGTGGAAACAAAGACACCTACATCTTGGATGCCCTTGAGGTAAGCTAAAACATATCAAAAATTTATTTCAAAGTGAACTATCCCTTTAACGTTTACAGTTAAAGTTTACAGTTTGTGTACCTTCCAGTTTGCAGACTTGATATTAACTGTTCTTCCTGTGTGGGTGAGTGTGCTCTTCATCCGAAGGAAGAAATTTTGCTCAGCTGACTTCTCTGTCTTTTTCTTTGAAATACCTGAGGATGAAACATTCTCCTGGTAAGTCCCAAACATTTTCAGTAACACATAAGACTTCATAAAATAATTCAATAAACAGTAGGTCACTACATAGCAGCCAAACTCCAGCCAAAAGTATCCTTGGGGCAAGAAATCTTTTATTACCTGGTATTGTGGTGAGGATGTCTCGCAATTCTTCTTGGTCACAGGGGTGAACAAACTCATACACACTCTGTCCAAGCAGCTCCAGCTATACAACACCATATCAAAATAATCAGAAATTTAAACATGCCTTCAAAATAATACCATGACACTAGAAACATAATTTAAAAAAAAGAGAGAAAACATTTACATATTTATATTTCACAGATTAATTTATCTAAAAAAAGTCATACATGACCAAGCATACTGCACAAGCCCTGAAAACCCAAAACATCTTGACAAAACAATTTCTCAAGTTCAAAGATGTCAGCACCATATCAGGATACTGGCGGCTTCACTTCTGACTAATGGAAGAGAGCAAAAGGGCGTCGTCCATTTTTTTTTACTGTCTATGCATCTGACCAACTGTTTTGCACTTTAATTTTTTTCCATTTTCTTTAATAATTGTAATATGTAGATGAACTCTTAATTGCAATTCAAACAGTGAATGTAGGTCATTTGTATGAGATTTCACCCACCACTACTATCATTCTTTAAATGCCATTACTGTCACAAAATTATAAAAAAAAAAAAATACAATTAAGAGATTACATATTACTATATATTATAATAATATAACATTACATTATATACTCCTTCAATGTCATGTCTGTTGGATTTCAGTACATCAATCTCTTATCACTGCATTACTCAATACTAACTGAGATAAAAACAAAAACTCAAGAGCTCAAAAACGCACTAGACTGCATGTGTTCCCTCGGGAACGAATCTATTCTAAGGGGTCTTGTCACACACGTAACCGGAACATGCCTCGCACTACAGGGGAGGAATCCAAAGTGAGACTACTCTTGAGCCATGTCTTACTCTACTACGGCCAGTTTGAAAAGATCCACATTGTGAAATTCACACTCAGGTTTTTATGCAGTACTTCAATATGTAGGGACAACACTCACCTGTGTTATGCCGATGTATTTGCTGACACTCTCTGAGAGGAAGATCATGTCCCCTTCCTCGGTCATCACCAGAATAAAGCCAGCCAGTGCCTGCTGATAAAAGCCATCAGTGGGATTCTCCGTTTCCTCCGTCTTCGTTTCTGTTGGCCCCGCTGGATGTGACAAGAACCAAATATTAGCACTAGCACATATTTGCCAAAGGAAAAGTATTTGAACATATATATATGTTCAATGAACACACACATATATATATATATATATATATATATATGTACACAAACTTGGTACCAATATTATTTATAATGCAAAACAAAAAGGTCCATACAATGAAACAATGAAAGTTATTATACACTTAACAATATTTTGATTATTTGAACGAATGTTGGTTTCAAAATGTCTTTAGGAGTTCAATGATTTCATGCATCTGGCATCCATTAATTTCCTGGACAAACACAGTGTTCATCGCAAAACAGATTTATTCTACTTGAATTTTAACCAAAATTTAATAGAGTTAATTTTGGCTAAAGTTTTTCTACCATCAAAACCCCTTATTTTTACATACACTCATTTAACATAGTTTTTCCCCTGCTGTAAAACTATTAAAACAGTACCGAGACCCATTTTTGGGTTGAGCAACCAGTTGAGGACCACTGCTACACATCATACAATTTCCTACTTGAATTCAGCAGAACCCACCGGTTTGGATCAAGCGGTTCATGCGCAAATAGCTGAGCGCCACCCTCATGATGGCAGCTTTGTCCAGGTGGGAGGCGACACGTCGTGGAAGGGGTAGCGAGTGTGCCAACTCGTAAAACACCTCAGTCTCCTGACTCCTCCTACTGCGCGCCGCGTCACGAGAACGCACCTTCCGCTGCTCCAAACTGGGCCTAAATAAAGAAAAACAAGAAAAACAAACTTATTTAACGTCCATACGAATATCCAATCCTTGTCAAGAAACCAAATTTAGAAAATAACGTTTTTATAATGACATTTCTTTGCAAAAGCTTTTTAAATTTGTGGGAGGTTTCTCCCCCCCCCCCCCCCCAATCTAAAATTAGGACACCAACAGAAAAAAACAACAACATTGCATTCATCTTACATCTTTGCTTTCTGTTCCTCCTAAAATAAAAATGTCCCAGCTGTAATTTGTGTTGTTCTGGTGCTCCGTATATCCAAGTGTTGCCAAAAGAGAGACCCAGACAAACTTTTTGAAATGAAGAGGGGGAAGCCCTCACTCTGTGCCTTTCACTCCCGTTGCCCTCCCCCACATGCCTTAAGTAGAAGAACTTGTTCAGAAGGTCGTTTATGACATTAAAGCCTGTCCCACAGCCCTCCCCTGGCTTCCTATCTGACAGAGCCCCTCCCAGCCCCTGAGTCTTTGACCTCCTTTGTGCTCTGAACAGGACTGCCATTACAAAATGACAGTTGCCAAACTCTCAGCACAGACTTTATGAACATACAAAATATAATTAGCACATATATCTGAAACTATCTGCACTGATTTATTGTTTTATTGTAATTCATGTTATTTTTATGTAAAACCGAGTTACATTTGTTTTCCAGGATTCTTAAATGACTATCACTTGAATGCATCTTTGCTGAATTAAGTTCATTTCTTTCAAAACGGACCCTTAAACTTTAATAATTGGGCAACACGTAGTCAGTCTGTGGTCAGTAAAGTCGGGCTCTGTGCTCTTTGGTAAAGAAAAACATTCCTCTCACAAATTATACTCGAAAGACGTGTAGAGTACTAAAAAAAACAACACACAGGAATAAGTCTGTATAAGGACTCACTCAGTCAGGATTAGGGTTGCAAAATGAATAAAAAAAATTAATATGGAAATTATCTGGAACTTAAATGTAAGAATTAAAAAGAATTCTGAATTAAAAGAATAATCTGGAACTTAAATGTATTCTCTTAAATGTATTATAATTCTCAATTTATCCAGAATCATACAGCTCTATAACCATATCAACACTGCGATCGGCCACGGTATATGAAAAAGGAGCACTAGTAAGTGCTAATAAAATCATCTCACAGAAATATTATTCAAACTTCAAAACATAAAACATTCAAATATAGATTACAGTCCTAAAGCAGAACAAGAAATGGAAAACTGCCAATGCTAGTATGTGTTTTATGCAACACACATTCAACAAGCTTTTAACAAACATTTTGCAAGTCTTTATTTCACCAATAAAACAGGATTTTATTGTAACCAACCAGCAATAATCGGAATAATAAGTCAAATCAAATAATAAAACACCTTTTTGATCTTTGTGTGATGATAAAAAACTGATTACTATAATGATCCTTGTACAAAACATAAATCTTATCAAGATGGAACTCGGTCAACAACATGCAACAAAGCTTAATATGAGACAAGCTGAAGCAGGGCCCGGCATCACATTTCAGTCCCCAGGCGACCACATCTGACTCCAAAACAATCCGCTCTCAGCCAGTGGTCACTGTCGGAGAAACTCGTAAAGAATGACCATTCCAAACACCTTCATCAACCCCTTCTAAAAATAACTCGCAGAAAGAGCTCACCCATCACATTCATGACAACATTGGAGATTATTTGTTCTGTGGGACAGTTAAAAAAATAAATAAAACGAACGGTGCATTTATTACCGCTTTGGGCTTTGCATATAGACCATTTTGTAAGATGTAAACACTGGTCCAGAAACACTTCCTGCTTCAGTTTGTAACCGTTTTCTTTATTTCACATGTAAAGAAAACATCTTAAAGATGTTTGTTTAACTTTTTGATTCAGTTTTATATGTTCTGTTGTTTGTATTTTATCCCAGCTTTTATGTAGTGTTAAAAAACCGAAACTGGAAGTGCTTCTGGACCAGTGTTGTTTACATCTTGCAAAATGGTCTATTCTGGGACTGTATTAGTAGGATAAACTGGTAGTACTGCACATTGAAAATCCAATTTGTGAGTAATAAGATCTAGAGAGCGAATTATATTTAAAGTCCTTAGGCTTAAATCCATCCGAGATGAACCTAATCATGTTTAACAAATGCCCAAAGAGTGACAGTTAAGTCGACTAATGCTCAGTGCAAACAAATGTAATCGTCAGAAAATCTCAATTAGAATATCTACTTCATATTGTACATTATAGGCTGAATGTGATGCCTAATCTTTTTTAAACAACTGTTTTATGTTCACCAAGGCTACATTTAGTAGCAGTAATATTGTGAAATATGCTGATTTGGTGCTAAAGAGACCATTCTTATTATTATCAATGTTGAAACTAAAAAAAAGAAAAAGAAAAGAAAATTAAGGAAGAATGAATAGTTTTGATGAATAGATTGATAAAAAATGTAAAAAAAAAAAAAAAAAAAAGCATTTAGCATTTATTGGAAATTTTTTGTGACATTATAAATGTTTTCACTATTTAATGCATTCTTGCAAAAAGGATTAGCATTCATTTCTTTCAAAACTGACTCCCAAACTTTGATAATGATTTTAAAAGCAGTGCACGCAGTCTTGTGCCAAAGCTCCAGTAAACAAATGCAGGACTGCTGTCTTTCAGCCACGTCACAACACTCAAGCCCATTCCTTCTGCTGTTTGGATGGCTGGGGATTTACAGCGAGTGTGCAGGCATTCTGGAAAAATATCAACACCCCACATCAGCGGGAAGTGCAACCCATCCCAGCCTGTTCAAATGAACTCCTCCGAACCTCACAGGATAATGGCAGCATGTGTGACATGCTTTAGTGGGGAGGAATGTTCACATCAGATGTTACACTGATTGATATGAATCTGGTGGTACATCAGGGTATGAATATAAAGCTGTATGACCTGTGACATTTACACAAAACATCCCCTATAACTATTTCTACACTGACCAACACCACAGGCCAACCTTACTGATCCTTGCAAAGCATGTGCCCACATAATCCATATGTGAAAAGGTTTTGAGAGAAACGCTGTTTTCTTTGTAAACTTTTAATGGAAACACAGTAGATTTCTACTTAATTTCTAGATAAACATATCTTTGTACACTAACGTTCAAAAGATTGTCTGCGAGACGTTTTAAGGTTATTAAAGTTTCTTATGTGCATTACTTTGATCAAAACATATGGTAAAATAGTAATAATACAATTAAAAATAACATTTCTATTCAAATATTAGCCTATTCATAATGTAATTTATTTCTGTGATTTACAACAGTCTTCAGTGTCACATGATCCTTCAGAAATCATTCTAATATGCTGATTTGGTCATCAAGAAACATTTCTTACGATTATCAATGTTGTGTAACCTAATATTTATAATAAAAGCATTTATTTAAAATAAAAATCCTTGCAAAGCAACAATATCAATGTTTCCATATGAGAAACGTTCTTGAGAGTTTGTTTTCTCTTATAGGTTGCTTCAGGAACACAGTGTTCTCTATGCAAACTCTTAGCAGATATGCAGTACATTTTCAGTAGATATTCTTTATTGTCACTTGTCAACCCTGTGGTTCAAGTCAGTTTGTCAGACAAGAGCCTATAAGACTCTTTGGACTATTCTATAAGACTCTTTGGACTTGTTCCAACTGTAGCTGCCTGGACTGACTGAGCGAGAGGTTCAGCTAAGTTCGTTTAAACAGTGATGGGAGGGGGAGACTATGGTAACTATGCCAAGAGTTAGGTTGAACACAGGCTGTAAGACAACAGAGAACAAAATGTACTCAGGAATATTTACTGAAAGTGTTTGCATCATTTCCCTCAGATGTAGGTTGTTGACAGAAATACATTTGGGAAGTCTTGCGGTGTCCTTTTTAAAGAACATTTTGATCATACCTTTATAAGTGTCTATTATTAAGTGTCTTTTTACTACTATGTACTAACATATTGATACATGTACTTACATCTGTAATTAACTTCTGAACACAATAACATTGTACAAAACAATACATGTATTTTTGATGAAAGTACATAACATATATTAAACACATAGCCTATTAACAAAATGTTACTAAAATTGTTTAGAGAAGGCATAATGCTCAGCTGATGAAAAATAAAAGTTAGTTATGTTAGTTTTAATCAAATATATTAAGCTACAATGTCAAATACTTTTACCAAGGAACTTGCAGTCTTTTACATTAAAGAGGAACAACAGAAGTTGTTTTGGCACAGACAAATCTTCCATTTTAAGCACATCTGATGAGAGATAAATGTAATTTTGATGGATTTCCAAGCATTATCTCACTAACCTAACTTACCTTATAAGTAAATTAATGCAATTTGGTCACTGTTTCTCACAATTTGTCCTTACACCACTAAAAGAGCTCGTTCGGCCCACCGAATGTTAAAGTGTTGACCAGATTTCTTAATGAAACATCAACCATTATAAACAAACAGCTTATTTTTTTAGCCATTACTTAAGAGACTGTTAACAAAACCCAAGAACACTGCCTTCCCCTCGAGCAGTTTTATTGACCATGTGGTCCTAAAGACCAGTAAGTCCTGTTTTTATTGTCTGAAGACATTACTAAAACACATCTGGTGCAAAAAATACCACTTTAAGAGTTCAATGCCTCTAGTTTATTATTATAAATGGTATATTTGGTATCTGTATACAATTAAAATCGATAGCCTATTGTCTTTACAAATACGATCAAAACAAACACTCGAAACCAATTCAAGCGCAAAACCCCACTCAAAAGCTCACATCAAGATAGATATGAAAATGATAACACACATATCTATCTCGGTGACCTAACACGATTGCCAATAAATATCAATAACCGACTGCACGCTCATGAGGCCATGTATGCATACAGCCATCGATCGACTAGAGGAACCCATTTCCCCTATTATCCCTTATGATTAAATTCACACGCCATACCTTCAATGAAGGCTGTTGGAAGATAAGCGCCTTACCTTTTCATCGCAGAGTTCACCATCTCTCAAATGAAATCACTGCAAATCCGAGTTTAGAGTTCTGTATCTGTAAAGATTGAATGGACGGCAGACGTCGTCTCGTCTGCTGCTTGTTGTTTATCTCTGTTCTTCTTAGAGGCTCGACTACTACTAATCTTTGTAAAAGAGCTGCGTGTCAAAATAAAAGTCACGGCGGGCACGAGCAATCATAACAAACAAAATTGTCGTCGACTGGTCTGATATGAACATTGGTAAAAGCAAGAAATGGCCTGGTTTCACAGACAGGGCATATATTAAACCAGGAGTAGGCTTTTAATTAGGACATTTAAATAGTTTAAATAGAAAAGTAGTCGTTTTATAAAAAAAAGAGCCTTAAATACTATTATGTGCATAGAGACAAAACAATTGACACATTTTAAGATATGTCATTGTCACTGAATTAATCCTTACGCTCATCAAGGCTACATTTATTTGATCAAAAATACAGAAACAATTATTTTGTGAAATATTTTTACAATTTAAAATAATTGTTTTCTATTTTAATATACTTTAAATTAAAATTTGATTCTGTGATGAATTTTCATCAGCATCTTCACTGGCACATGATCCTTCAGAATTCGTTCTAATAGGCTGATTTATTATCAATGTTGGGAACTGTTGTTCTGCTTAATATTTTTTTTACAACCTGTGATACTTTTTTAGGATTCTTTGATTATTAAAAAGTAAAAACGAACAGCATTTTTTTAAATAGAAATCTATATATACTACCGTTCAAAAGTACGAGGTCAGTCATTTGTTTCTTTCTTCTTTAAAAAAAGAAAGAAATGAATACTTTTATTCAGAAAGGATGTGTTAAATTAATACGAAGTGATAGTAAAGATTTATATTGTTAGAAATGATTTCTCTTTTGAATAAATGCTGTTCGTTTTAAAGTTTAATTCATCAATGAATACTGACAAAAAAGTATCACAGGCTTCAAAAAATATATTAAGCAGCAGAACTGTTTCCAAAATTGATAATAAATATATATAATAAATAAATACTATACTCACAATAAATAAATACACATACTCACACACATAAGTTACAGCGGCAAAAGGCAGAAAAGAGAAACATGATATTTCTTAATATATATTTACTTATATATACTTAAAATATTAGAGAGTTCTGCTAAATGTCAGCTCAATAAGTGAAAAAGCTGAAAAAACTACTTTTCCCTTTATTTCCTTTCGAATTTTACACAAACAATATCCGGGTCACCAGAGGCGAATTTCCGCGCCTTTTCGCATTGGAGATGGATGAGAGAGCAAAACAACCTACAATATTTCAATTACACTATTACATTATTGACTTATTGAATCTTTAATAATCATACTTCAAATGCAGACTGTTTGCTGACATAAGGTAACATCGAAGAATGTTGCTCCCGTCTGACGTCGCCAGACTTGTGCTGGGTAAGTTCACACTGTTTTGTTGTGTCCCTCTCAAGGAGAAGCTAGCGAGCTAATACCCTGTTTCTAATTATAGTGTATATAACTATGTGGTTTGTCTCCAATACTGCGGTGTTGTTGTAAATATTTAGACCATTATGAAATAGAGACACTTGTGTCATAATAACACTGTGCCGTTTTTTGTGTTGTGTCAAATTGCTGAGATGATTGAGAACTTAACTATAATGGCTAATGCAGAGTCTACCATTCGCAAATGAAGATATTTATCTGTGAAATTATGTAGCAAGTTATTATTTCTCTTTCAACTTTAGGCTACCTGCAGCAAGAAGGGCTCACTGCCACAAGTCGAGCCTTCATCTACGAGAGTCCAAACCTGAAGGAATATGCCGAGCACAGCTCAGAGGACGGGATCATCCCTGCCTGTGTGTTTGTATGTGTCAAGTTCATGATTAATAACAGGGTCCTAAAATCACTGCATTGCTGGAGTCTTTTAAGAAGACCTGCTTATTAGATAACAACAATTTATATTTTTTGTTAATTACTCTTTTTCAGTCTCTATTTGGAAAAAACCTGATCACAATTTTAAATGAATATGTTGCTGTCAAAGCAAAAGGTGAGTTCCCACCAAAGAAAATGAAACGTTTTGGGATACACAATGAATCTTTTCCCATTATAACATGCTTGTGTCATTTCTTCTGTAGAATCAATTCAAGAAAATCAAATCCCCGTTCTGATGACATCATTATGGAAAAAGCTTGACTTCACACTCAACCAAATCAAGTGAATGAATATTTGTTTACGCTGTTATTGGGTGTTTTCATTTAAGCACGGGTCAGAATAAAGCGTCTTTATTAAAATCTTTCTGTGTTGTCCACAGGTCTCTGCAAAATTCTCCTGCCGTGCAACTGAATCAGCGATGTGAGTTTTGCTCTTTGTTTAAGAGAAATTGTATTTGTGTTGACTTGGAGTTACTGAAATTAGCCAAATACAATGCATATATAATACAAGTGTAATTCATAGATAAGTCATGATAAATCATGACCAGTGAATTAACACAAAATATAAGACGTTTGGGGTCAGTAAGATCTCTTTAAATGTAAAAAAAAAGGCATGTTCTTTATGTTCTCAAAGACAAAGTATAAACTTTAAACTAACAGTTAAATGAAATATACAATTTAATATAGCATTTTTCAATTTGTTTTTTAAAAACGTGATGGCAAAGCTGAATTGTTTTTGAATGATTCTTTTGTTTAGTCTAAAGTTCAAAATAACTTAATAAATATAATAAATGTCATTACTGTCACTTGATAATTTTAATGAATCGTTGCTGAATAAAAGTATTCGTTTTTTTACAAACCCCATATTTTTTAAAGGTAGTGACGTCAGTGTTTTAGTATCATTGACAATATAGTATTATAGTTAAGGTTTTTTTAGTCATTTTGTTGTTATTTCAGTTAATGTCTCTTATATTTCAAGTAATCTTTTTTATGGTTTTAGTTTGAGTTAACAATAATAACCCATGTGTATTTTTTTCTGTCATTAAGTGCGCACTCGGAATAGCATTCAATGCAACAGACGTCAACAGAGACCCTTATTGGTATCACAGTCTCCCATCTCTGGGCACCCTCCAGTGACTCCAGCTGGCCAATATGTCCCCGCCTCTGTGTCTACCCCTCAAGGCTTGCTGGGACATTCTACCCCAATGTCTTACACTTCTCAGCATACCAGACCCTCTACTCTCTGCCTTAGTCAGCCAGGTGAGGCCTGAAAAACATGTTAAAATCACACTGAGATTTGTTAAGTACTCTCTTTCCATTTTGCTGTCTTACCTGTTTTATAGGGGAGTCACCGTTGCAGATACTGGTCCCTGATAATAGACTGAATCCTGGACCTTTGTCTCCGGCCCGCAGAAAATGGTAAGGTTACAATGAAGACAACACCAGCAGCAGCATGTTACAGTTTAGCTCTTTCTACCCTTTCCAGATCAGTCTGTAACAACAACAATAATTTTTTTTAAAGTGTAATTCTGTTTTCTGCTGCAGTGACTCTCCGAGGCGGCGAGGAGGTGGTCAGTTGGGTGCCAGCGGGCCCAGCAGGGCCACAGTAGTGTCCAGCACTCTCATCGTGGAAGCTCAGAGTGAAGAGACTGTGACGGAGAACTTATCTGTGAGTTAGGCTGATTTATTCCTCTGTTTGTTTTAAATACTCCTGCATAACTGAAGGTGATATTTTTCTTTTTTAACAGCAAATAGTTATAGAAAATGCCAGAGATAAAATCCTCAGTGATAGATCCTTACAAGAAAAACTTGCTGAAAACATCAACAAGATCTTGGCAAGGTAAATTCTGAATAACTGGGCAAAAAACTAGTTAAAATAATAAAGAAAAACTCTGAGGTCTTACATGTTGTAATATCACGTTTACAGCGACAATAGCCCTCAGACATCAAAAACCGCCTGCAGTGCTATGGAACAAGAGCAGTCGATCGATGAAATCCTGGGCCTTCAGGTGTGTGAATGCACCTCTTTTATTCTTCCTTTGTTGTTTGTGAGAATGTAATTTTGACAGCCATATCAAGACTTAACCATCAAAATTGTTTTAGGGGGAAATTCATATGACGGATGTTGCCATCCAAGATATACTGACACAGACGGAGTCAGACCCGGCATTTCAGGCGTTGTTTGATCTCTTTGACTATGGTAGGGTAGAGCAATTGATCATGCAGAACAACTAATTGTTATACAAGCTGAACTGATTTTTTTATCATAGGTTCTTTCTAATAATAACCTTTCATCTCTTTTATAGGGAAAAGTAATATGGCTGAAGGCAGTGAACAGGCTGATGGGAGTTTCAGTGCCAGTCCAAGTGCACCAGAGAGTGATGAGACTGGGCTTGTAGACAGCATCTCTGAAACGGGTAAGATGGGTTAGTTTTACCTCATAAAGGAGCATTGACCATTTAAAAAATAATACAGTAATATTGTGAAATATTATAACAATTTAAAATAACTGTTTTCTATTTTAATATATTTTAAAATGCAATTTATTTTTGTGATGCAAAGCTAAATTTTCTGCATCATTGCTCCAGTCCTCAGTTTCACAAGATCCTTCAGCAATCATTCTGAATCATTGATATGCTGATTTGGTGCTAATATTTATGTGGAAACCATGATACATAATTGAAAAATTATTTTAATACTAGAAAGTTTAAAAGAACAGCATTTATTTGAAATAAATTTTGTAACAATACAAATGTCTTTACTGTACTGGCTCCAAGATTTTGAATGGTAGTGTATAAACTGTTTAATGTATTGTTATTTTTTAATATAAGGTACTGGACAGGAGGATTCCACAACAGGAGGAGAAAGTAGTGCACAAAACTTAAGCATCCAAAATACGTCTGAGTCAAAAAGCAAAAAGAAATCTTCCGGCCTTCGTAATGTGGCAAAGTCTTCTTCCACAGCTCCGCAGCCACGTATTATAACCAAACAAACAGCAGAAGGATCCACAAATTCCAAGACAGGGGTAGTCAGGGCTAGAGTTTCATCTGGCAATAAACAATCCAGAGGTGTGCCTTCAACTTCTCCAAAGTTAAGCGATAAAGCGGATTCACGTCCACCTGACCGAATCGTATCAAGTTCCTCCTTCACTGAAGGAGTTGACATGGAGATAGATGAACCAGAAAGTGAAACCTCTGAGA